TCGACATATGAAACAAAGACGAAATTTAATGACCTACATTAATATAAAAACTCTTTTATTGCGCGATAAATTATTACGATTTTTATTTTTATGTTTATAACACTTTATGGACTCGACTCCTTGGAAAGGAAAATCACTTAAATGTGATAGTTATCAAGTATTGTACAGGGTGATTCAGATTTTATCTGGATAACTTCGGGAGTTGTTAGTACATGTGTAAAAATAATTAAGTTTCGATTTATTCAAATTTAGCATTTAGCACAAAAACACTTCTTATCGTTCTGCATAAGTCTTCAAGGAATGAAACCACCTACTCTTTATTAAGTGGGTATTTAGGTGCTATACCCTCTCCTAAATTATTTTAAAACAAATAGTAATTTTCAGAAGTTTAAACTATTTAGGTCTACACTTTAATTGATCTTAAAACTATTTTTATTCTTGAATTTTTTTGATATTTTGCTTCGTTCTTGAGATAAATTTGAGCCATTGCATCTGCACTCATTTGCAAGCATTAATTTATTAGTATGCCATGAAAAATCAAATACGAAATTGAACAATTTTACATTATTAAAATTGAACGAAATTGAAAATTTTTCAATTTGTAGTTGTAAATAAAAACTTCAAAAGAATCATGTCATATTGATTTTTCATGCCATACTATATGATATGATAAAATTGATACTTGCAACTGGCTGATGCAATGGCTCATCTTTTATAAAATATCTCAAGAACGAAGCAAAACATCAAAAAATTACAAGAATGAAAATAGTTTTAAAATTAGTCAAGGTATAGGCATAAATAGTTTAAACTTTTAAAATTATTATTTGTATAAGTTTTAAAAATGTTATAATTTTAATTCTGTATCTGAAGATATTAGAAAAAAAAATGTTTGAAGTCTTTAACCGAAAAGGCAGGAAACTCGTTAGACAAACGAGAGCGACTAACCAAAATTTAATTAGCCCGATTTACCTCGTCGTAATCGGGAAAAAAAGCGGCGTAGCAGCGGCTCCGGCGCGGTTTTTTGCCGACGCTCCGGTGATGTAAATGTTGTTCACCAAAAACATAATAATCCGAACAATACCAATTTGTTTTTGCCGGACAGGAAGGCTGGATAAAAACGCCGAGAGATCCGTTAAAGAATTCGTGAATGAATGAGAACGTGATAGTTTCTCACAGTAGCGACGGTTTTCAATTTTATTTATACGTGATATTATCGGTTATCGAGAGGCCATTAAAGTACGGTGAATTGTGATTTCGTTTTGTTTTGTACTTTCTGTTGCATTCAGTACGAAGCAGAATCGATTATAAAGGATAGTTTTTTCGATTCCATATTTTTATGTAATATGTATAGGTAACAAATTAATTTGTATTATGTTCCAACTTTATAATAAACAGAAATGGTACAATTAATTAATCTTAGAGATCATTGTCGCCAATACATTTGTCTACTTACAATTTGATATGAAAAAGTATAACCTATATTAGAAAGGAATCAAAACTGCTAGGTTTTAAAACCTATACTAGTATAGAGACTATAGAGAGAAAGTACCTTATAGTAGCGAAAAGGCTAAGGGAAAGTAGAGAGAAATTTACATAATAAAACTATAATGTGTTGACAAGGAAAAAATCCAAGTCTTTCAAACGGGAAGTTCTGAGTAAAATTCAGCGAAAAAAAGCGATTTGGGGTAAACGAAATACCGGCGCAAAAACGCCGTCTCGTCGGTGTTGTTTTAATAAACCATCTTTGACAAATTAATAATGCGTCAGCACAATTCGAATGAACTAATTCGATTCGGGCGGTCGAGGACCGAAAACGGTGCTCGACTGACAGGCCTAACCCCCCTGTTCGATTCGCTGTAGGACCGGACTCTCGACTAATTAGAAATAATACATTTATTCACATTTCAGAAAAGGCCACTGTAAGTTATCTACTACAAGATGTAGGTACTTCAAAGCATCAATCAAAGTAAAGGTACCTACAGTGGATTTTCTGAAGAACAGTGAAAGTGGAAGAATATTGCTCGAAAAAGTAGTGATATGAATGAGTTAGGGAAAAAATAAAGGGGATTCTAAAAACATGGGATTTTGCGATAGTACTATTCATCCTGAGCTCAGTTTAAGATGAAGTTAACTTAACTTTTAAACCTTGCAATGAGAAATATTTGAGGCTTACTTACATCAAATCTAAACAAAACAACTTTAGCTATTCACGCCTCAAAAAATATCAAATTTTGTCTCAAAAACCAGTCTGAAAATTCACATTCAATCTCAACTGTCCAAATATCAAATCAAAGTTAATCAATCTTCACATAATCCCAGATTGTTAACCAAGAAATAGCGAGTACATAATACATCAAGGATAAATTTATCCGCATCAATTGAATGTTTACGAGTAGTTGAGATTGTAATGGAGCAATCGATGGAGATCCGCTCCTGCCGTTCGCCCTTATTTACGGGGTAATTACAGTAGTGTCAGCGACACTCCCTTCAGCGAGTGTGGTCAAACGTCGCCCGCGCCAACTTTAGCTAAACTTAACATCGCCATTAATAAGCTGCGCTTGTCAAAGATCGCGAAACGAAACTTATTGTATTCCTGCGACAACTTTAAGAGGATTTGTTGCTTTGTCGTATAGACGACGCCGACGGCCGAAACAACTTCGGTGATTTATTTCCTTAAACCCGCTTTGCGAACTTGTTATTCATATTCGTATATGGGGGGACGAGCGATGGGCCGCTCAAATGAATTACAATTGATTAGGTATATTATTTTTCATTGTTTGGGAAATTGTTGATTAAAACAGGGTGTTAATTAATTGAGTGTCGATACTTCAGTATGTGAATATTTGGATGATTTTAAGAAGAAAAGTTTATATCAATATATGTCTTAAACCTTTTTTTAATAACTTTTCTATCATAATTTTCTTATTACTCCTGATATTTTTATGAAATTTGGGGATGTCACTGGTAACAGTAGAAAATTAATTTTTATCCACAAAAAAATAGTGTTTCCATGCATGGTGAGCGCCTTCCAAATTTTAACAAAATATCAAAATCAGTCTCGATGAACTTGGGAAAAAATTTGTTTTTATTTTTTTAAGCGAAAATATGGTGCGTTGTACGAAAGTAATTCTTCGGACCGAATTTGTAATGAGGAATGAGGATTTTAAAAATAATTCTGGTTTTTAGAAAAATCAGTGACTTACCATGTCACTGGTAAAAATTAAGAAAAAATCTTTTGCCTCAGAAATTGCTCCTTAATAATTAAAAAGTGTACAACATTTCATAAAAATATCTGGAGTAATAAGAAAATTATGATTGAAAAGTTTTTTTCGTCTAAAACTGTAACACCCTGTAGCTCGAAAACTAAGAGGTTTAGGACATATATTGATATAAACTTTTCTTTATAAAATCACCCAAATATTCACATACTGAAGTATCGACACTCAATTAATTAACACCCTGTATAGAGAAGAACATGTTCATAAGATTCTAAAAGTTCAAGATTATTATCGAATTATTTTTCACACTTTATCTTATAAAAGGGTACATTTTAGAGAGTATGTTTTTAAAGAAATTTTATGAACCAATAAGATACCAAAATAAATTGAAAGATATCTTTATGAAACTGCTTGTGAAATACTAACTACAATCTTTAACATGTTAGTACACTAGTTGAAAAAATTAACCGATAAACTTCATGAAATATTCAAGTAGGTACGCGTTTACTGAAATTTACATTAACAACATCCTCTTAAACTAATTAAATTGCCTATATAAAATGCACTCACATATTTGACCTGATGACTTGAACCACGTAGGCCTTATAGTCTACAAAGATTATGAAAACTTTCAAAATACGAACAATTACACTGAAAAACTGATTTTTCAAAATTACATAAAAACAGTCAACTGTAGTAAGCTCGTACAAGATTTCCCGAAATTAGTAAACAACTATTATATTCCCAGAGGAATTAAAAAAGCGAATTTTAAATTAATAGGAAAATTTTGAAGCAAATTCGGCTTTTTCTCGCGATCGTCGGGCTCGTTTCGCCGGCGATTTTAACGCACATTTAATTACGGGTGAACGTCTCGATGAGTAACTGCAAATTTGATTTGCATCAATTGCAGTTTGTGGACGTGTAAATAGAACCGTGCATGATTCACGCGAATCCTTTCGGATCACAATAAAACTCCCGATACAGCGCGACACTACGTGAACCAAGTCAGGTCGACGTGTGTCCGCGTATTCATTTTCCCGGCGCTCTAAAATGCTTTGTAGATATACAAATGGTTTGAAAAAAAAAAGGGATTGATTCGTTACCAGTAGCATGATCGATTGAGTATTATAGAGCAAATGAAGATTTGTAATTTTAAAGTAATATACTCTGAAAAATGCAATTTTTATCAATAATAATCATCAACATCATTCACTCATTTGATTCCAAAAATGCAAAAATCTACAAGATAAGGTATAGGAAAACAAAGCTTTAATCTTTGAAATCTACCATTTTTGAAACACCCTATATAGAATAAAGTAGTTTTAAAAGATGCAACGTCATCTTTTTTGAATTTCAAATTTTTATTAGCACTAATGCTGTATAGTTATACTGACCTTAAAGGGCTTAAATAAAATCGATAGAGAATATAGCGATTTAATTTTTTATAATGCAATTTTACTCCAACGAATCTGTCGAAGGGTTGTGTTTCATGGGAATTTTTAAGAAGGGAACAGTAACGATTTTTTTTTGCTTTTCGGTAAGGCGATATCGGCGAAGCCTTACAGACATCAGCGACCTTCCTTCGAGTGCCTGAGCATGAGAGTAAGTTAGAGAGGAAGTTGGCCAAATTGTCTTTCGCGGTTTTTAATGTGTTACATCGATGCAGGTGGACAGAGTGATTAAATTTTCGAAAATGAAACGCCAACTAAAGGCGGATTCGGCAGTCGCTTCGATTCGGAGCCGCCTTTATAGATAATAATTATGATAAAATTTGATTCAAACCTGAGGTTTCCTGTTTATAGGAGTTCAACGATCCCTCCGAACTACGCACACTTTTATTTTTGTACACTTCTAAGTCTCTTAAATGCGAAAACGACGTGTCCAAAAATTGTCTCTGACCTATTCCTACTGTCCTATAAGCTTGATGCTGTACACCTGCAACACAAAAAAACCCAAACTAAGAATACGTTATAGCCAAATTACCCAAAATCATATTCTCCTTCATATCAAACTCTTCTCTTTATATCTCGTTATACTATTGGCTTCTATTTATTTTTATGTTAGAAAATATGAATTTGCAGTAATTATTTTTAATTTTCAATCGGAAAGCCCCGAACGAATCGATAGCGTCCCCCTCTAAAACGGCAACCGAATGCCCCAATTCGGCGATTACACGTATGAATCGTAACTGAAAACATGAAATACGGGAGAATTTTAGTCGTACACGCACATATACACGTAAACCAATCGGTGACAAATGCGTCGGATTAGCAATTTACAAATCTGCTATTGCTGCAATTACTGCCTCATTATTTTCTAAGTAATTACCTATCCTGTTCGCAACTGCACTGAGCACTGGTTTGCTCGCGTTTTCACATTAAATTCGCTTTTATATTTGCATTATTTATGCGCTAATGTTGTAAAGAAATGTCCTCTCAATTTTAGTTTGTAAAAGAAAGAGCAATAAAATAAAAAATAATTAAATAAAAATTATTTTTATTGTACAATTCCTAACGGGTCTTTTCCGCACAATTACAACAACGCAGGATTAAAAATTAAATATTTACAACAGCCGATAATAAAGATTTATCAATTTAGCGGCGGTTAATTATTTATTTTAACGAAATTATGAATCGCGTCCCGATGCATTTATAAATGCGTTCGTTCGGGGTTTTAATGGCCTTTTTAGAATTGTAGCCGAATAAATTGTTCGTTTAGTTCGAATTAAACCGTAAATTTGTTTGAATATTGCATAACAGTATCAATTTTATAAATTTAATCTGGACGTTTTTGTGGGAAAATCACATCGATTTGGGTAAGTTAATTTCGGTCAAAAACGAAAAATCACATTTGCATTTTTAATATCGAGTGTTTTTTTTGGAGAGGCAAGTAGGGTAGGGCGGGGCTAGTTGAGCATACGGGTAAGTTGTGCAATTGAAATATCTCGCAAACTATTCACCGTACGCATAAACATCTTATGGCGGAAAGAAGGGGTCGGGGGAGACCTAATCACAGAGCTATTGCAAGTGGCGCCTCGACAAGCGAGTAAAGCCCCCGTGCGTTTTGTTTTTTTTGTGACCAAAAAGTAAAAACGTCGTCTATCGCAAGTTTTCGTCTGTATTAGTCAAATATTATCCGTTTTCAATGGGGTAAGGGTTAATATTCCAGAAAATTATTGTACTTTTGATATGTAGAGATGTTCTGGTTATAATTCTTACGATTTCTTTATGACCTCACTTTTATTTTAAAATTGCGGGTTGGGGTTAGTTGAGCAACTACTGCGAAATTTACCAGGAGAAAGTTGGATTCACTGCCAAGCTTGCAGGGAATGGGCACAAATAAAATGTCTTCCAGGTGCTATGGTCTTACTTTCATTTGTATTAATTGCAACAGTAACAACGACCAAAACTTGCTAATATATTATTAATATTTTTTTAAGCTATTTAATTCTGATTTTAAACAGAAAGCTCGTAAATTACTTTAAGTTTTGTTGTTTTGTCACTAAATCACAATAAATAAAGAGATGATTATAAAAATAAACATATCCTATATGTAAACATACCGTTGCTCAACTTACCTCACCTATGGGGTACATTGAGCATACTTGACTTTCTGCATTTAAACAGCTGTAGCTCTTAAATTCAACTAGCTACAAAAAAGTTACTATGGACACTTTTGTTAAGGGATAAATTACTAATCCATCAAGCCACATAACAAGTCATTCACACATATCATTGATGAGCTATATCCGCTAAAGTGAAAAGTTGCTCAACTAGCCCCGCCCTACCCTAGTAGGTATTATATTCAGGATTTATTTTTCTTTAAATATAGAATTGTAAATGGGCATTCAATGAGCACAACATACATAAATCCTGATATTACTGTAAATTTTATGTAATTAACGCGCGCAATTGCGGCCCTACAAGAGTCGAACAAAACCATTATTCTCTACCTACCCTACTTTATACTCTCAATTCTATACGCAACAGCTATGGCAAATGCTCGATTTTGACGAGCCCTGCAAAGCCAACACTTGTTTTAGCGAGCTATAGGGCGCCCGGCGAATTAACAATGTATGAGACTACTAATTGAACCAATTGATGTTTCGTATAGATTTGTAATTTCTGCGTTACGAGTGTTTCCTGCTAACAAATTACCCGACAAATATAATAAATAAATAATCGAAAATGGTGATTTACAGTCGTCAAATATCTTTCGATGAATGAACCCGATGTTTCGCTTTTTGGGCGCGTTATTTTAGGCGTTGGGTGATTAGAGAAAGTCGTTTCGTTCGATTTATTAATCGAGGTTTTAATTTATTTGGACACGGAGTGAATCGGAAAATTGATTTCTCTCTTGATAAAAGTATAATTAAACAGTCGATTGCTAAATAAGTTTGTAAAATGATATAATTTGGGACAACCAAACCGCATTGTTACAAAAATGTATATGTAACACTACTGTAAAAATCATTGAGCATTTAGTTAGGTACCTATCTTTATAATTTTCTTAAATGAGACAACTTGTATTGTACATTAAATAAATATTTGAAACGATTAGTTGAGGTAACGAAAATTTTGTGTATAAACCGTTAAACAAAAATTGGTATTTCTAATAATTGTCGAATTCAATTTAATTGTCAATTTAAATTATTACGAGATACCGTTTACATCAGTCGATAAAATAATCTAATAACAGACGAGTTTCTATTGCCATTATTATACTTGTATACGAGATATTCTCTCGTTAATCGGTTTTTCTATTATTGGAAATTAGAAAAATCATCGACGAAATAAATAATAGTAATAGAAGAAACCAAAATATACGGTAGCAACGAGGCAGGTTTGTAAATTAGCCGTATAAAAGCCGCTGCATAATCTTCCACAGAGCCGGTTCGGTTTTCATGCAATTATCAAACATATATACGTAAATACCTCGAAATTGCCGGTAAAAACCAATAGTAAACTTCCGATTATAATTTAATGTGTAGATAAATCGTATATTAGATGTAACTTATAAGGATGCTGTTGGTAAACAATAGGTAAATTGTATTGAAATCGTGGATAAAAGAACACGATCGTACAAGTAGATAGAAAAATGTAAATAAAGTACAACAAGAAAGCTCTTTTAAGCCTATAAGTATAGATAACGAAGTATAACATAAAGTGTAGATAATAAAGAATTTTGTAGGGTTGGTTAGATTGAGTAAGGTCAGGTGGGTAGATAAAGGATTGGGGCAAAAGTGATTCTCGAGGGTTAAAAGAGATTCTCCTTCAATATTCCCTTTTTTTTTAAACTCATAAGTGGCGGGGTAATTAAGATAATTGCATTAATTGAATATGAATCGATAACACTTTTTCGTATCAAACCGCCACTGTCTGACGCGTTTCGTTTAAATTCGGGCTCCATCTCGAAACGGCGATCTTCTTGATAAATAACGACCGATCCGTAATCGGTAATAGAATCGACATCGCTCCCGATCTGGTATAATCAAAACCAACTCGGATCACGAACGCTGAAATCCAATTTACAAGTGTTCACAAATTACCTGCCTTCTATGCCATTTTCGGTCGATCGGACCAGAGTCGAACTGTTCATTTTTGCTGCACCAGCGGGATCGGTAAATGTGAACAGCACAAAATGAACAGCTTGGAGATCAGACGGAAGATGTGAATTCCAAGATGATATAAAATAATAGAGAATTTGGAACAGTATCCTTTGTTCACGACTTTGTTCATTACCTCAGGCACTGAAATGAAATCCTTGAATATAAATAAGAAATTCATTTTATAACTTCTGGCCCTATTACTACTTTTACACATTTTCCTATTTATTCTATACGATACGTGCAGGAAAAATAAAAATTGGTCCTTTTTTAATAGCGCGATAAATGGCCGGATCCGGTTCTGACGCGAGCTCATCTTTCCGAGTTAACTTTAATTATTTTTTTTATTCGTCAGTCAAATAGAATATTTTCATCGATTCGGATGGGAAGTGACCGGGACTGGTAATGGAAACTAAAAACTTGAATTACATGGATTATGAATGGAAATACCATGAGAGCATAGTAAATTCAATCGATGGGATTATTGTAATTTTTTTTGGTGCGCGCAAGAAACGCCTATTTAATGTAGAGAACGTGACGTACATTCCCGAGTAATGGTTTTTTGTCGATTATTTTCATTTCTGAAACGGTATGGGTAGGTGCATAGTGTTCGCAATTCGAATTAGATCAAATATGATAACACCTTTTCTTGATAATTCCTCGACTCTCGACTTCCTGCGATAGTGAAAGAAAAGCGACGGAGTACTAATAATAATTAATAGTCTGTTGTAAACAAAAATAGCGTGGGTTAATGCACTGAGGTGTATGTTCATACACATGCGATTGTTGTTTGCATTATTATCAAAACTATTCAGATACCTACTATTACATTTTACTTACACATTTTACTACTTTTTGCTTAGTAATTAAATGCTGCATATGTATAGAAATATTAAGTTAACTTACTTACAGGTACAAGTATGTATGCAGGTACTAATTGTAAGAATTAGGAAAAGAAAGGAATAAATATAAAAACTAAAACCTATTACAAATCAGGAATAAACTAATAGTAAAGGTTAATAACAAAAGATAGACAAAAGAGATGAAAATGATTTTCCAAATTTCACACCGGATTTTCTCGTAAATAATTGTTCAATTATTTACTCGACAGTTAAAAGGTAAATAAATAGGATTAGTCCAATCAACTGTGTAAATGAAAACCATTTCGCATGTTAGAATTAGCTTAGAGACAATCCCCGCCAAGGTTTCGGGTTTTTCCTACCCGGCCAATTTCTCCGTAAATCGCCGGTATATTCATTATTTTTATATAAAACAGTCATGAATTAAATATAAGAGGAAATTTTATTGTAAAAAAGATCTATATACGCAGCGTTTTATAAATGCGTATAATTATTAGTAATAAATGCTTATATTTAACCTTTTAGTATTATAACTAGGCATAGGTAATATAGATAACTATTAAATTTTCCCGAATTTATCGAATCGAAAATTCCATTTCCAACTAATTTACCGACCTATAAGCCTTGGACTGTGCTCGACCATCATCCAGCGCGTCCATTTTCCATAACTAACGCAACATAATGCCGCTTGCACCTATTTACGGAAGTTATTAAGCCCTCCATACATCATTTCCTCCCTCGAATTGCCCCCACCACACCATTAATACTAAATTATTTGTAGAATTTTCCGTTTACTGATGGGCCCGACATCTGTTAATGATTTGTCCTAATTAACTCACACCACAACACCTAGTGGATGGGGAGCGGAGCCGCCGGGCCGCCGCTCGCTCTCTATTCCCTTCAGGGCCGTCATCCCGGGGCGCCCCAAAAACGCCATTTTAATTGATGCTAATTTTCGCCAAAATCCGATTTTTTAGACTTTTTTCGCGAATGGCAACGTCGCAAAATGTTATAGACAATTGACACCTCACAATTGAGGGATATAATGAGAAATATATTAGCCTCACCAATATAATCCAAGAATCTACAAGGATAACAATTTTAATGGGGATTTAATCAATTAAATTCGACGCCCCTGCAAATATACATTCGACAGTAGCCCCTTCCGTATGGTAACTGATGTTGATGCTGGCCCTTCACTTTATTGCTTCGCATATCATTCCGCTAATATATTATGTGATAATACTCTTTGATGAAGGGCAGCATTGCTTTTAATCATCGTGAAGTAGATTGATCAGGTAAATTAGTTCGAATGCAACATAGTGTTTGCAATTCCCTATACAGAGGTAGTGCCTATCTGTAACAACTCACACACAAGTTATTAATGCTAAGCTGATATTCGAAGGGAATACACGTCCTGGAATTGTTGCTGGAAAAATCCCGTAATGGGAATTTGATATATGTAGATTGTATGAATAAAAGAAATTGGCCTTGGTAAATTGAGCGCAAAAATACATTTATTATACCTTATAAGGTATAATATATATATACTATACTATATATATATATATATATATATATATATATATATATATATGTACTATATATAGTTTAAATGGGTATTGTAATCCTATAGGTAAATTAGGCGCGAGAGTATATCTAATAGAAAAAGGGATTATTTGAGTTTATTATAAATTGGAAATATATTGAATAAAGTCATGTAGAGTAGAAAAGTGTAGAGTAATCAGGACAACGATGTTTGACAAATAACACTTATTTTGTAACAGTCGTTACTGCACCTCTATACAAAAAAATGATTAACATCTCTATTAAACTTCTTAATTAAAATGTCATTACTGTCAATTTTGACATTAATGTATCATCGAACGCATCATAAAGTCCAACTTAATCTCGTACAATGCGAAAAAAAAATAGTAATTTATCGTAGATTAGAGTATAGAAGAGAGTAGAGTAGGGAATTCTAATTTCTAATCCCGGCGCCCAATTTACCTGTAGGATTGAAAACTTTATATAATTTCTTTTGCGCTCACAATTTATATCTGTTCAAAGAAATGTCCGCAAAAAGTAAAATTAAATAGGATAGTAAAGTATTAAAGAACTGATTTAGTGGATAATATAATTAATGAAGAATTATAAAAAGTAGGCAATAAGATAAGAGCGCTACTGAAGCGATATACTTGCACCTATGTAGGTATTACAGAAATTGGAGAAAGACAATAAACAATAAATATCTGATATTTTATATTCACAAAAGAAGTCAACTCTTTAATGCATTGTCAATAAAATCATGATATATGGGTATTTTTTAATCAATATTGTAAACACAAATCCCAATGATACATATGAAAATGGGAAAATTTCGCGGTCGCATAACGATGGAGCAAACAAACGAATATAATAGGCATCTATTTTTTAGGGATAATGCGAAATTGTTTATCACACTATCGAAGCGACTGTAAACCAAAAAACAAATAATTCGGAGTGAATTAGCCACTTTAAAATTTTAATTAACGTTTGCGGCCGCCTCCCATAAATCGAATGACAATGTATCGGGGATTTATTAAATTTAATTTAATTGAGAATATTCATAACGTTAATATCGCAAAATGCGAACGTTTTTTTAGCATTTCATCGGCATCGGGACACGCCGCAACGAATCAAATTTATTTTGCGGTCGCCGTTCTATTTTCATGTCAAATATTGAAAACTGATCCAGTCATAAAATGCGGGAGAGCGCCGGACTTTGTGCGCCCCCGCCGGCCCGACAGCTCAACTATCAAATTATTATTATGCAAAAACGGGAATATCTATTTAAAAGCTGGAAAATTGGAAATTTTTAAAAATTATTTGTATAAAAATCTCTTTGAAGATAAAATACTAACTTGCAATCTTGTAACTATGCAAAAATGTGCAAAATGTCGTCGTATTTTATCATAATTTATTCATTATTCCATCACTTCTTCTCTCAGGGCTAACTGGGAGAACTACAGCTTATCGTGGATTCCGAACGACGGTCATCGAATCATCCTTAGAACCCCGGATTATCCTTTTGTCCAGGTGATTCTACCGACTACAAGTGTGTTTCTTGTGCCACCAACCCCTATCAGTTTATCACGAGATATCCGATCTCATCCGGCCTGGTTACCGACGTGAATGAAAAAACTGCTTATGGCACAGAAACTTTTTGCACTTATTAAAGTTTATCTGACTTATACCCACTGAATTCCGGTAGGATTCGAACCTACCACCCGACCGTTACACCAGTGGCAAGGCTGATACCTTAACCAGCTGGACTGCCCTGCCGGGCTATTCCATCACTTGATCGTCTATTCTATCCACTATCCACTATAAAATAATTTTGATTATGTCCCTTGATTTGTTGATCAAACTTATTCATTTCTCTTCATTCACTCATTCATAAATTTTACTTAGGTACTTCTCAAAATTCATTTATTATTCCACTATTCTCGTACCCCTTTGGGCTACTGATGTTTGAGTATAAGGTTTTTTTAAAAGCATTTAAAATACTAAACAGCGCTATTTTCCTAATTCGCTTCTTGTGTAAATATTGGCAACATATGTTGTTCGATACATTTTTTCCAAAGTTGGTTTTTTCTCAATTCATAAACTGATATTCCGTACAAATTGCCTACAATAACAATAAAATTTGAATGAAAGCATGCCTTATTGAAGCGATTCGGGCCTTCGATTGTGTTTACACCCCAAAGTAAAATAATATTTTTTCAATTGCTATAATTTTCTGCACGCAACAGTCTTTATCAACATGTACCGGTTCGTTTTTTTTCTTTTGTATGGATGTTTGCCTTTTTTTGATCGGCTCATTGGGTATTTTTTATTTATTTGCCTTCGTGGAAAGTGCCCCACTATATCTACATTACACGAACTTTTATATTAAATCGTAATTGTGAGATTTGCTATGGACATATTTTGTAAAATTCCTAACTCGTTGTAACTCGTGAAGAGTTTGCTTTGTTATGAATATTTTAAAAATACAAATGGACTTACTGGTTTTTGATCTGGGCTCGCGCGGTCCATCGACGGTAACTTTTATAGCTTTCATGTAGGTAGCTACTTGAGGGGGACTGGTCGATATGGTGATGGTGATGGAGAAAGATTTCCCTGTAAAAAAGTACCGTGTAAATTTTTCAAAAACAGAAAACACTGCCTAAAACTGAAATGAATGAAAAAAAGCTCCTTAAGATATGCTGATGGAATTAATTCGGGTCTGCGAAGTGCACGCAAACCAGACGAAATAATTCTTAATCTGCGGCGCATTGACGATTGCCACATGTGAGCCGGAGCAATTATTGTAATTTCTCTTTTCATGAAATGCGGTGAAATAAGAGCACCCAGGATAGAGGTAGCATTCACGAATTAGCCGACCGTGTCGCGTGCCATGTGGGCTCCAAGTAGCCGAATTTTCCAACTACTGCTTTTTGTTTGGTCGTTTTTCTCTTGTAGTTGTTATTAAAGGGTCATTTCGAAATGCTGGCTCTATTATTAAATCGCTGATTTTGAAGAAATATGCTCGTTTTATTTGTTCTGCTCTAGCTTCAATGCATGCATTTCAATAGTCCACTTAAGTATGATGTAAAGAAAAGGTTGGTTCATATACAATGTAGCAAAAGCGCATCAGTTTGACTTTTTGTATCGGATAAATTTATTATTTTCCAAATGAATTTATTTAGTACCGAAAATAATCGGCTTAATGACTTTATAAAGGACGTTAGTCGGCGTTTCTTAAAGAAAGCGACAGGACAAAGATGGGAAAAAATTAAAGCACAAGAACAAAATTGTCCCGTGCGGGAAAAAAGCGACGAATTGTTCATAGATTAAAACGCAGTAAATGTCAAATAAAGCATTGTATTTTACTGCCCGTCAACAGATGTCGATATTTAAGATAGCAATTATTGTCGGCGCAAAATTGATTCTGACAAACGCGAGATTTATACGTAGATGAACGCAACCATTTCGACCGCCTTTTACGATTTCACTCGACTATTCGACGTTACATAACGCCTTATATACCTTACAATTTCCAATTCTGATTTATGTGTTCTCTTAACGATGCACCCTTCATATTTACCAATTTACTGCGCTAATAAAATCCTTTTTAATTTCCCTTTATAGGAATTCCACCAGGATATTTTTCCTCTAAAATCAGCACTTTTAGAAACATATGGCTACTTAAGATACGCATAAGTATGCATCAATCATTAGATAATATCTTTTTCTTACATGGGTAAGTACATGTTTGTTTGCAATATGTTCAATCCTATAAAAGTTGCAATTCCAGCACAAAGATCACACTTTTTTTTTCCTTTACATGAGGTGACGTGCATTGATATTTGTTTTGCACCAACTGTATGTGTATATTGAGCACTAAAAATTAAGTAACGTTCTGCATCTAAAAGTATAAGATGATAGAAAAGTTTTCAGTCCAATTTTTTTATGATCGCTTCGGGCAATTCTGCATAAAAATATCATATGTGCTGCCCGATGGAACTTCGATCAGACTCTAGGCGGGTCGATATCGATTCCGGATTGCAAATTCGAATTGAAGACAAAACTAAACCAGTCCGGTGAATGTAATTACACCGTCGCAGGGGGAGAGCTAAATTAGGCGAAAACGGTTGAATCTGTGTAGACCGGAACAATGTTGTAACGATTGTTGGAAAATCGGTATGTAGGGACGAACAACCAGATTTGATGAAACAATCGACGACAATAAAACGTGCGGCGGTCACTGATATTCATCTCTTCGGCGGGAATGCACTCGATGGGGTGGAATGTTCGATTTTACTAATGAAAAGTGGATAAATTTTGAGCTCTTAGAGGGCGTATGATGTGAATTTAGACTCATTTATCTAATAATTGTTTAGTTAAAATACACATACCGTAAGGTATCAAAAGAATCTTAGATCACAAATACAAAAAGACAAAAAAAATTTTAAATTTAGATACATTCTGGCTGTTTTTATCTACCTATACATTAGAAATATAATTTTTAATTATGATATTTTTTTATGAAGAATATTTATTTACTGAATTGGTATATTTTCATAAGCACTATAAATAGTTTCGTAAGACTATTATCTATATCTAAAGATATTGTGAAATGCGTACGAAAGAAAAATACTGGAAATTGTGGATTTTTGTAAGTAAATCTGTTCCCCACATCCGCAGGTTGTTGGTAAACAAATTTCGCTCGAACTACCGCAAAACGCAGATAAAAATTAAATTTAAATTATTTATGAATACTTAATGCATGGAAATCATTTTTATGAACGTCGCCGGATAAGAAAAATGGAATAAATTTCGTATGCTAGACGAAGAACGTTTTCATGGGAAGTTGGATTGCGATATGCAATTGACAAATCACTTTGTTATAATTAATCATGATTTTTTATAATACTATAAATAATAACGAAGCTAATTAAATAAATATTTTAATTGAGTAGGTAATTAGTAAATTAAATTAGTGAATGTAATTTTTGTTTCAATTCAAAAACCTATTCGGATTGAAGAATGCGAGATATTTATACGGTCCAGGAATACGAATTGAAATACATCCAAAAATGTTATTTACCCTTGGCCCAAGTCTCGGGCAACACTGTGGTTACCTTGAGGTAGGTCGAAAACCACGACTGAAGGCAATTCATTAATCATAACAATATCGCCCCAATAATCTTCAAATCATAATACTTGGATCATATATGATAGTAAAATGTTACCCTAATGAGTAGGTATAGGATATTTGAGAGCTATGCATTATATGCATTTGAGAATGTATTATTTACCTATACTTGGCGCGTTTGGAAGACGGAGTAATAAAAATGTCAGGCGGTTCCAAAATATCCCTACCCCTGTACGGCAAAATCCTGTACAATGATCGATTCGATCGATAGAAATTTCGCACATCGCCTACAATTACTCAAAACCATTCACAGAGTATCAACTTTTAGGCCAGCCAATGGTGAGTGAGTGATATCGGCGACTCGTTTACACCCCGGGTGGACTTCGGCTGATTAATGTGTTTATTACTCCGTCTTCCAAACGCGCCAAGTATATATTCATAGATAAAACAAAACTATAGTAGGGAACAGTAATATAGTGATTGGATAATGTTGTTGGTGCATGACAGATAAGTCTTGATATGAATATGCAACTATCATTATTTATGCATAGAAGTATTTTCATAGCACTGTTTTTGTAACCATGGAAAGACGCAGCAAAATCTCAAAGAGCAATATTTTTTTTTACGGAGAAAAGGTGTGAAAACATCAGAACATTTCTCAGCGTTTACAAAGAGCGATCATAAAGTCTACAGAATCCACATAAGTAGAGTTTATCGGTGAATAGAATTTGCTCATAGAGATTTTGCTGCGTCTTCCATTGGTTACAAAAACAGTGCTACGAAAACGCGTCTATATCAGTCGAACAACTGAATATACATTTCTACATTGCTACATTTCTTGTCTGTCACCTATATGGTCTATAAGATCTGCGTAATTTAATTAAAGCACAATTCCCAGAACTTTGGGAGCATCCCTCGTAGATTGAAATTATGAAAAAGAAATAGGGGAAACGTATGAAATATAACAGGAGGAAGAGTACCGGAAAATCTGTATGCACAGTGACCCGTATTCAGTGCTCTTTTTTAACGCTAATCAATCGTTTAAAAAGCATTCTTTAACGTACACAATGTTCATGCATAATTACCTACTCCATTAAAACAAGTTGTAACTGTAATGTTAAAGATAGGTACTCGTATAACGATTGATAAGTGTTTTAAAAAGGAGTGCTGACTATGGGCCAATTATATCTAGTTTAAATTTCAAAGCATATAATAGGTCAAAAATTTGGTGGAAAATATAAAAAGGGTGGAAAAATATGAAAATATAATAAACAATCAATCTCCTCTCGTTACATATGTTAATAATTCCGATGATAATCTTACCCTATATTTTTCGATACGTTGTCAAAGGAAAAAAAAAATGTAATTTAGTGTGTAAATGGAACCCTACTATGAAACATCAATTCCGCGCAATTGATACAAATGAAATTCCAGAGAAAATTAGTAAATCATGAACTCGCTTTGATTCGCTACCGTGTTTATGAATGTTTAGCAAAAAACAAACAGAACAAAAACCAAACTCACCCCTTCCACTTCTACCGACGAATCGCAAATCGTTAAACTTGGCGACCTGATTCTTCATGACGGCGGTGGAGTTTCTCAACTCCGCGCAGCAATTCTCATCGTTGCCCGCCCTTATGGTGACGATGGTGCCGTCGCCGACGTCGCCGACGGCCACCACCTTGAACGCCACCGGCAGCGTCTTGTTGGACCGCCAGTGGTTAGGCAGCTGCGTGCACAGGACGTACGGGCTGCCGGTGCGCACCAGCTCGCCGGGATGCTCGGCCTGGATCTCGTGGACGCGGTGCTCGAACCAGTAGAACTCCGGGTTCTGTTGGTAGACGGTAGTCGGCTCGCACATGGCGGATTTCGGCCACGCTTCTTCGGAAACGTTGCAGCTTTGCACTGATAGTGGCAGATGCATCACCCGGTGTGTCGGTCTAGGTGAATGCGAATCGAGTTTGGTTGAATTCTATGCAATCTGGAAATATCAAATAATAGGAGTAGCAGTAATGAATTAATAAAAATTTGAATACTTATATGTACAAGCTTTATTTTTCTATCCCTTGAAAATATTTTCAACTCGTCGTTATTTTCGATTACAACGGGCAATAAAGTATTTTTGAAAGGATGTTGAAAGAATAGTTGTGGGCTGTACAATTAGGTACATATTACAATTACTTCTGGTGGCTCTATTAACTGAATTATTTTAGTATAGGTGGATTGCTAACAGGCAATGGTCCTTTTAAATGGCCCGCTCGATCGCCAGACTTAAACCTTCTAGATTACACGATTTATTTCGAAATTTTAAATACCACGCACTACTTTTCCAGATACATCTAATGGGCCATAGCGTGACTCTAAATACGCGCCTCGAGTCCCTATAGTCACTCCATAACAACAATGTAAATTTGTCAAGTTAAAGACGCGACTTTAGAGTCACTAAAGTTAAACGGCAGCGCTGAATACGGGCCAATGCATATACAAAGTTTACATAATACCATAGCTGGAATAACTTTGACCAACTTAAAATTTTGAAAAAAAAACTAAAACCTTTCGATCAGCAACTTCACGATATAATTAAATTGTCCATTTACGGCTCAATTTGGTATAAATTAGGTCCTATAATTGGATTTCAAATGAGCATAAATTAAATTTTACATTCACCTATAGAGAATCTGCAATAATTATTTGAAGAATTGAAGTTCAATTTATCAGATTTGAAAGAAAACTTGGAATTGAATCGAGTGGTTGGCTTGAAACCACAGGGACACAAATGCATACGAGCCGCACTTTTCGCACGTTGGTTTTGGTTATTAACCACTTCGGAAGCTTCCGAAAGTATAACCATATAGGCAATTTAGAATGTTATATTATAATAAAAATATGAGTTTATTATTTTATAAAAAATGCAAACTCTTACTAGACAAATATTATGTAAACAGTGGTCTCATCAGTGGATCCCTTAGAAACCAAATTAATAAAATCCTCCAATTCAAATGTTAAGGCTAGTGTTTAGGCGGAATATGAGTCAGTGAACAAGACATTAATTGAGTCGTTTTTAGAGATTATACATGAAATGTAAAATTTTACTGAGTCATTAGAATTTATATGAAACCGACATGGACGAAATTAATGGTGAAGAAAGTGAAGGTGCCGAGTGGAAACTTGCGTAACTGAAATCACCAGATAGGAAATCAAGGGATTCACTTTTAATTCCAATTGTTTTACAGGTGTGTGGAAAACCAATGTTATAAAGATTCAAAAAAAATCCCGCGCATAAATTAGGCATAATTCTTGTTGAATAATAACCGAGATTTTACATAGAAAGAGGTATCCTGGCGTTATAGAATTAATTGTTTTACTGGTTTCTTTGTTCTTTATTAAAAACATTGGTAGTTAATTGAATATTTTTTTGCTATTTGATAAAGCAGTTATTTTAATTTCTTTTTTCAAACCTTTTCACATTATTTGATGAAATTTTTTATAACAATTTATTCGATTCGATAGAGGAGGGTTAGAGATATGGCTTTTGAAGTCCCAATCTAATAGAAAGCTTGAAAAATCCATGTATAAAAACACAATTAAAACAAATGTGAATTTCACTATACAAAAATATTGAAATTTCAAAAAAAAGGAAAAGGTATATAGGAAGGTATAGGTATTTTTGTATCATATCAGGGGCACAAACGATTTTTTATTTCCGCCATTCTATTTTGTCAGCAGTTTTATTCGACAATAATCATTTTTGTCAGTTTTATATGTAAAAATAATATGTACCTATGTATTTGTGTTAGGTATAAATTTCGTAAATATTGGCTCATATCAGTGCCTTTCTGTTGGGGATTCTTTAAATTAAATTGTCTCAAATATTTCATTGATTGTTATGAAACAATTATATGTGCTTTAATACCAGAAGTTAAGTAAGCGTTTAACACGTTGACTGCCTGGACTATTTTGCATTGTGTTTTATAATGGAACCACGATGAATAAATTTTCTAAAGCTATGCTCAGACGCTATTTTTATCTATAATGTGAGCTAGCAACTCACAGAGCACCAAAAGGTGCTCATTGAAAGAGGTCCTATAGAGACAGGTTCGAGCTGGTACCAGCACGGCAGTCAATGTGTTAAAGAGACTTTTCGATTTGGAGTAAAGGAACGTTATATTAGTTTTTTTTATTATGTCAAGGCATGTAAAATACTAAAATTTTTGGGAACGGGATTCCCTCGTGAATATACAACAATCGCCTGAACGTTACGTCATTTTACCTAGATACCGAATTCATTCTTAAAAACTCAATGCCAAAAACCCGCCGTCGATTCCGCGAATCGCCGGAATATCACAAACATGCGCTCCAACCTTAGAGAAAAATCCGAAGCCTTTCCGGTTAGAACGACATCGAAAAAACGACGGCGTTTACCAGACTTTCACATGTTCGCGATGATGAATCACCGGTAAATACGCATGTTACGCGACTTTAATGTAATACTACAAAGTACCAGAGGAGAGTACCCATACGTACAGCTAATGGAAGAATGGTAAATTTACCGTAGGTTCGGCGTCGAAGTCGCAGGAAAGTCCAGGCGGAAGCGCGAAGCGCGACACCGTCATCTGCGGCTGGCACTTCCGACGTTCGAAAGACGGGACGAGGAGCGCGATTAACACCCACGGCGACGCTCTCTCTGCGTGCGGGACGACGGTCGGAGCGAAACTGCGGTGGGAAATTGGAAACTCGCGACTCGTGGTCTCGACACCGCGACGTTCATGCGAAACATTTAAACAAAGAAAGGACGAAGCGCGCGCGCGTTCTTCGGTGGGCAGGTGGCGGGGTGTCGTATGGAAGCGGCGCTTAAGGGGCACAATCGCGGCGTCGGGCGTGCGGCCGCACGTAAGGTGTACTGGTCCGGAAGAAGGCGGGCTCGGAGGCGGGTTCTACGGCCAACGGTACGCCGAGACGGTGTTTTATGGTTAATTTTATTGCCGGCTCTTCTGCGTCGCCGGTGGATGTGGACGTGGACGTGGATCTTGCATGCTGCCTTCGGATATTCCGTGCTGGGATGGTGTTTGTTTATCTGTTCCGGAGTTTCTGGTTGGGATTTTTCCTTTCGTCGATTTATTTATCAATTCGTCTGTCTCGAAATGAGTAAAATTATGTTATATAAATAACCTACGGTTAAATGCTATCTACTACTTATCTACTTATCTTCCGACAAAAAAGTATCCGGAAATTCTGATTTAATTCACCTGAACTTAATATTTCTTTATGTGGGTAACACTGTTCTTAATTAGCATGCAATAATTTAGAGAGACAAAAATAATGAACAAAGAGTGTCTAATATTTTGAGTTTTCAACGGAATTTCGTGGGAGACAAATGCTTAAGGTGAATGTTTTATCGAAAACCCATATATTTACGAATGGTATAAAAAACTTTTAAAGACATCATTTCGGAAGACCGCTAATGACTTTTATCTAATGAAAGCCTATACGTTTGATTTTGCTGAACCGCATCAATCATGCAGACATTATTCATATGCTGCGCATTGAGGCTCGGCTCGTCGTAGAGCTGGAGTTTCCTTTAAAAACATGCTGGTTCGTGTGAAGACGTATTATCGACCAACCGCCTTATAATACTCATCAGATTTAGTTTCGTACGTTTTCCAAGCTAAATTACCACTTCGAGGCTCCTATTTTGATCGATAAATGTCATCGAAGAAAATTCACAGAAGGAGCTAAATGCCGTAGGTAATAAAACTTATACCAAAAAGGGCATATACAAACAATGCTTCGATGTTTGAAAAAGGCAACTGACTATGTGTATCGCTTCAAAAGGAGTAGGTATACAGGTCGTACGAACTGATCCGCTGCAAGCATTAGAATTAGAATCTCAATCAATACTATAAGATAGTAAAGAACAGAAACTTGTTTATCGGTTGCCGGCCGATATTAGAATTCGTCAATTCGCTTCGCTTCGTCCACTAGCGAATAGCGGGGATAGCGGGCGTGATTATTTCGTATGCTCTCTTTATTCCTTACATAGCAAAAGTTCAATTAGCTATCTCATTATTCTCATTGTATGCTTGCAGCGGAATAATTCGTACGACCTGTATATGTTTTGAAGAAATATTAATGAAGATTAGGAATTTTGCCTTTTATTCTGATTTTCGGAGTACTTTTTTGTCACAGTAGTAATAGTAGTATATCGTACTACTTCCGAGTCTTATTTAAATTAGCAATTTATGCAAAAATATTAAGATTGAGGAACTTGTACATCACATATACAAAGCGCGCGCGGAGAGAAATGACTTTTTATTATTTGAGTTGAGTGCACCAATGCTAATGCATCAATAGGACATAATAAAAAAATACAATTAATAAAGAATATAAGTGATAAGGGAAAAGGATTTTGAAACAGGAAGATTAAAAAATAGAGTTTATGGAAACAAATCAATCGGGGTATCAGGGAAGATACTGCAGGAAACCGAAAAGAAGAATATTAATTGAGAGATGATGAGTTTATTTTCCCGCGGCTTGATACATTCTACTTCTACATACGATATAGAAAAGCGGAAATAAATTAGTAAATAGGATATTTTTGCATCGAATCTCAGCCTTATATCTATTGTAACAGAGCCAATTCTGTTGTAATTACGTTGTAACAATATTTCCAAGGATTGTCCCAGGTACCTAATACTGTTAAGTAAAGGGTGCATAAGCCAACTAAATTTTGAAATTTGAATTGGCTATGAAAAAACAAATGGATATCCAACGGGGTCAAATCACAGCTCAGCTCGCCTGTCAATTAACATTAACATATTGTTGGAGAATCGAATTTGTTTCGTAAATTTCTTACCATTTAAGTAGAAGAAGATGACAACCTGGAAGTAATTTTTTAATATCTCCCAACTTTGTTGAAGTAAAGCGTGTAATTTCGTAAATGTCAAATATGTTATAGATATACTTATAAAACTAAATTTCCGTGCACTCGCATGAATGTAATTAGGTATACCTTTCAAAATAATAAAAACCGGTGGTTCAAATTCCAACGTTAGACCCTTTAAAATAAAAGCAGGAATTGTTAATATCTACAGGGTGTCTCATAAGTTTATACTTTTTTTAACTGCGTGTAGATCTTTTAATTCTAAGCAACATTTTCAGGTAAATTTTTTTAATAATGTAGAAAATAAAAAAGATGGAAATTTTTTAAATTTCTTTAAATTTCAGGTGTCAAAAAAATAAAAGATAAATAATTAATGACAAAAAATTAATTTTTCGATTGTTGAATTGAAAATGGCTCATCTTTATTATATAAATAATGAATTGGTGGACATGTTGATTATTTATGGATTATTTATGGAGAGTGTTTCTAAAGCGTTTCCAATCAAAATGGTGACAATTTTAAGCAGTTCCTTTAACTTTTAATAAACAGGGCTGTATTAACTAACTCTTTAATAATTATGAAAATTGAAAAAAAACAAGCTTTTATTTTCCAGAATAATAAAAAATTTTACTTGAAAAAGTTGCTTAGAATTGAAAGATCTATACTCAGTTAAAAATGTATCAACTTATGAGAAACCCTGTATATTAACGCATAACGCACCCTTATAATCAAGTGAAAATTCAAAATCACTATAACATTGGGGGGGTAATATGTCATGAGACAAGAAAGGATTTCGCTTAATCTTCTATATAAAAAACCCTATCATTTTCATCGCGTCCTAGTTTTCCTGCCATTCTCATCACCAGAAATCCAGCGTGCGCGCGCCGCGTTTGTGCAGGACCTTGTATCTACTACCCTTCCTCGACGTAGCGAATATCGAAACAAAAGACAGAGCTATTAAACGGCCCATATAATCTTAACAAACCTAACATTGTAAATTTATAGCGGTCGAAACAAAAGTCGATGGAGTGTCAAAGGAGAAAGCCAGGACGTTTCGAAGTGCATAGAAAAGCATAAAAGGTAATGATGAATATGAACGTGCGGTCGGCATGTAACCAAGAATCGACAATAAGCTCGTAAACGCGGTCAACACTTCGACCGCAGGGTTTAGTGCCGAAACATTGCCAACTCGTCCAATAAAAATCCATCCACAAAACCCAACACTAATTAATATTTAAACTACATTGCTCAAGACCGACAAGTTGTTTATTACCAACACATAAGTACCAGATATGTATATGTACCTCTGCTGTATGTACCTATCATTCGTTTTTATTGAGTCATCTAATTTATTTCCTATATTATAACTTCGATACAATTCCCTTAAATAATTTGACACATCACAAGAAAATTAATTGGATCTCTGTATTAATCTTTATTGGGTCTCTGTATTAATTACCTGGACCGGAGAGCATGAAAATACTACTACGGAGAACAGAGCAGAGCAGAGCAGAACAGAGCATGAAAATACTTTATTATAAATGAAAATTCTCAATCTTAAATTAAGATAATTATTTGTGGTTATTTTTCAGCGGCTTCTATCTTTCTTTTGCAGCCAATTTACCTGTAACATTAGAATGACATTTCATTCTTCGCGCCCTATTTACCTATAGGATTAAAATCTATAATCCCTATTTGCGCCCAATTTACATCCGTCCGCTTTTAAACCTAAATAAAAAGAGTACTTAAGTAGTTGGATATACATCAGTTAATTTTTTAAATGAATTAAATCCTTAGGAAATTTGCTTTATCTGCATAGATGTGACTTTATCACCTTGCTCTACCGACTTTGAAAAGAGCTATAAGTATAGTAAATATTGTTATTAAAATTCGGATCGGATCGAGATAAGCGGGTACCCTATGAAGTGGCAATCAATGGGGAATGGGGAATTGTACACCTACTTATTGAGCAACATATGATACATAATAACTGAAACCAACAATGTGTTTAATGCGATAAATGTTGAAAATATTGGTGATAACTTTCGGTTAAATTCTCATGGTTTTTTTTACGTATTGGAGGAACAACATGTTACAGATAAGAACGATACTGATAAATATTTTCTCATGATTTTAAATTATAATGGATTCGGGAAAATAATAAAATTCCTACACGCCGGTCCTAGCGAATATAATAGAGGAAGTCTTATCTTTTCAATCTTCAAAGGAATGCTTTAGTTTTTTGATTTTTCTGGTATAGTCTGGTCTTATATTTTATTAGTAAAATTTTTGTTGAATTGGTATTTAGGAAACAATAGAGTCCGAAAAATAAATAACAATTCACTCGAATTATTTTCGAATAAATTAATTACCTTACTTATCTAGGACCTATTTAAAATAGGCCAGTTCCATTGATTGGGAAGCGTCCATGATCTCCTGTGTTATACGATAATACAATCAAAAAACAAACCATAAAATTTCCTAACACTTTATTATAGCTTTTTCCTCCAAAATAAAGATTGTGTTACATAAAATAAAAGAAAAATGTATCAAGATCATATTAACCAATAACTGAAATATAGAATAGAAACATAAGAGTGCACTTATAATTCATAATTTTAAAAACTCATTATGACATACCGCAAACAATTAAATTGCAATTAAAACAAAAAAAAACTTAATTTTCCACTCAAATATCACATTCAACGTTTTCATTTAACTCAATGAAAATCTAACGTTTACGGCGACAAACTTTCTTATGCTCCGCTTGCCAATGCTGCTGCTGGCACGTCTGCGAGCAATACGCTGTATTCCAGCAACAGTGGTAAATAGCATCTTGTTCGCAATTGTAACACTAAAACAAACAAATATATTTATACTTTGTTCGCTATCAAGAGATAGCAATAAAGCCTTCTTCTTCAAGCATTAACACTAAAGGAAACAAATAAATTTATACTCTGTTCGCTAGCAGGATATAGTAATAAAACCTTTTGAAGCAGTAACACTGAAGCACATTGATAAATTGAGTCGCTCAGCGCCAGAGTGGCCCAACTGCGAAAATTGCATTAGCTGGTATCCCAATCAGGAAAAGTGCTGCACATTTTCTAAATTTCAAGCCCACATTGGCCCAAATGAGCTTTTCTATTTCACTATTAGATATAACTGCAAACTTGTGCAATTTGTGCCCGAGTAGACTTGAACAAGCTAATGCAATTCACAGTTGGGCCACTCTGGCTTAATTTATGCTCTGTTCGCTATCAGGAGATAGTAATAAATCTTTTTTTTGAAGCAGTAACACTAAAGAAAAACAATAAATTTGTACTCTGTTCGCGATCAGGATATAGTAATAAAGCCTTCCTAAAGCAGTAACACTAAAACAAACGGATAAATGTGCAAGGTGTTAATTAATTGAGCGCCGATACTTCAGGATGATTTTGGAAGAAAAGTTTATATCAATATATGTCCTAAACCTCTTAGTTTTCAAACTACAGCGTGATACCCAAATTTCAACAAAATATCAAAAGCAGTCTCGATGAACTGGGGAAAAAATTGTTTTGATTTTTTTTACGCGAAAATGGTGCGTCGTATGAAAGTAGTCTTCGGACCAAATTTAATTGCTCCAAAATAAATGAGGATTTTATGGTAAGGATTTTACTGTGTTTGCTATCAATAATAAAGCCTTTTTGAAGCAGTAAACCTAAAACAAAGAGATAAATTTATACTATGTTCGCTATCAGGAAATAGTATTTAACCTTTTTGCAGTAGTTAACCATAGGCGCGCCAATATATTAACAAAAAGTAATTACCATTGAATAATTAATAATTACATAAAAAAACTAACAAGTACCTGCAATACACGTACCTGTAGTAAACGGCCTTAGATCGGTAGTAAACCGATTTAGATATTTTTAGTTTCTTGTTAATGGTTTTTGTTTTATCTTTCTAGTATCTATTTAATATCCCAGAAGCACGACTGTGCACGGAGTTTAGGTCACGTTATCAGGGATTAGAAAAGGGTTGCCTATTATTATACACCCTGTATACAGAGTGGAACTACTAAAGTACAATAAACCTTACTATTACACATTGGAAAATTGTTTGTATCACTAGTGTTATCTTTTGCATACAAAATTAAGTTAGTATATCCTCTCTTGATAGCGAACGTTATGCAATAAATTTTCCAATTCAAAAATCGCTAAGTCGTACCCATTGCTTTTTCTTCGTTTCCGAAATCTGCTGGTTATGCGACTCGAACAACCTCTTCAAGTGTTCGTTGTGATCGTTCATTATTTTATCTATCTCAGTCTGCATGCAGTCCATAGCGCACTTGATGATTTCCTTTTTATTGGGTAGCCGTTCCAAAGTTCTTCTCATCTACGAAAAACACACAAATATGGAGGTAATTAAAGTGTGTTTTCGCCATCGATATGCGCTATCGTACCTTTTCCACCGAATCGCTGTAAGGTTGATCCAACGGTTGCATGCCGCTTTCGCTTCGAGGCGACACGAATTTACCATAATTCTCCGTGGAACTGGTCACTTGCTCATAGGATTCTTCCAAACTGTAAAGGAAATATTATTCGTCAATAAGGAATTTAAAAGTTGTATGGTGACAGGGTGACGGAAAAGTACCCGGAAAGGGTCCCAATGAAAAGTAGCCCACTCACAAGTGGAACAGTTTAGTTACTGCAGAATATTTTGATAAAACAGCCTGTACAGGTTATACACAATAGGCCGTATTTATAAAAAAGGAGCACAACGTTTTGCTTAAAAAAATTAAGGAATTGCTTCAAGGTATATGCGTAAAAAGAAGAGAAGGAAGAGAGGTTTTGCTTCGAGGATCCTGCTGTGGCTTTAAAGCAAAAAATTTTATGGTTTTAAAACCTTTGTATAAGGTTTTAGAACCTTTTCTTAAACTTATAAAAATTACAAGCTGATCAAATGGGCTACTTTCCATTGAGACACCCTGTAGTTTTTGAGTGTTCAAAATATACTCATTTTGATGCGATACACATAGTCAGAGACCTTTTTCAATGGGAATTTTCTTTGATGGAATTTATGGAGTCAAAACGGGGTCACCGCAGTGGCAATTTGAGCTTGGAAAACAAAAAAGTTGCATGAGGCTAAATCTGGTGTGTAAGGCGGCTGGTCTATGGAGCCGAGCCTAAATGCGCAGCATGTCTGATTGGTTCAGCAAAATCAATCGAGCGGTTTCATTAGAGATTTTCAAGTCAAGTGCTACTTCTCTAATATTAGCATGATCATTTTCGAACTCAATTTCCTTCATTTTCTCGCCATTATCATTGGTTGAAGAGGTCGAAGACAGTCCGGGACAAGACAAGTCTTTAGCGACCTTCCGAGTGTCTTCAAAAGTTTTTTTACCATTCGTGATTATGGATTTTCGATAAAATAGAGTCACCTTAAGCATTTGCTTCGATTCGTCCCACGAAATTTCGTTTAAAACCCAAAATATGAAACAAATCCTTTGTTCATTATTTTTGTCCATTGCAAAATTTGCAGAGCACTACTGTCATGAACTGATTCAATCAATTGCTACAACCAAACTGTTTGAGAAATCTCCCTAATTTCTCGCATGCTAATTAAAAACAGTGTTACCTATATACAGAAACTTGAAATAGTAAAAAATATTAAATGCAGGTAATTTAAATCGGCATTTCCGGGTACTTTTTTGTCAGAGGGTACGTACTTTAAAGTATCGTTTTGTCTGAAAGAATATTCTTCGCTGTCGTCTTCTTCTTCACCGTCGGATATGTCGATTACGTTCGTGCCGGAATATGTGGAATTAGCTACGTTATCTGTGGATAGTTTTCTTCTTTTATCATCGACTTCCAATGCTGAAATTACATACAAAATATTATGTATGATTCATGGAGAAAGAATAATTATGTGACATACTAATGCAGTCGTCACTTTGCCTCTTTCCTACGGAACTTGGACTTGAAGAGACTCCTGCCTCTTGTGAATCATTAGGTTGTGGAATTGCAGGTTTATTTTTCTTTTCCTGTAAACAATTTCTATTTAATTGAAATAACTCCTTAATTGAGTTAGTCTAACCTCTCTAAAATTGTACTTACGATTTTATTATTCGGAGTTTTAATGGGACTCTTCGGTGGAAGTTTGTTAATTGCAGGTTTTAAAGCATTCTTGGGTAGAGATTTACGCTTGCTTTTAGATTCTGATAACAACTTTTCCACTTCGTTAGAGTTTTTTAATAGTTTCTGGTGAAACTTCAACTCATCATAGGCTCTAGTAAAGGCTGTAGATGGTTTAATCTATAAATTTTATATCGTTACGATTTTTATAACATAAAAATTTCTCTTTTACAATACCATTAGCGTATCCTTAGGGGTATCTATGGGTCTAACAAACATCTTCTGTAATAGAGACCTTTCGTACTTCCCGCCGAAAAACCGCACATCGTAATGCGCATCAGTTATTCTAATGACCTAATAAAATAATAATTAAAATCGCACAAAAATTGTAGTGAGGATATTTACCTTGGCAGGCCAAAAAGGATAACCTTTCTGCTTGGCCCACACCAGTTCGTGGGGTACTCTGCACGGCAAGCAAAACCACTTGGGGATTAATTTTTCATTGCTGTGCTTGTAACAATCCACGCAATTTCTAATTTCGCTGATGTCGTGTAGCGCGTCTCTTACCATAAATTCCGCCGCTCCGTACTCCTGAGATTCGACTGAAAATAAAAGTATTCTTTAGATTAATGCCGCCAAAGCACGCCCTAAATTTCGATACTTCAGGATTCTTGAATATTTGGTTGATTGTTTAAATAACATTATTGGTTCCTAATTGGTTCCTTGCCATTATCTGCTTCCCGGGTATTAATGGAACCCACACTTGGGACAGAAAACACATCAAAATCGAAGTTAAATCAAAGAATAAAAGCAAGTGAAATTGTTTATATACAAGGTGTTAATTAATTGAGTGCCGATACTTCAGGTTGTGAATATTTGGTTGATTGTAAGAAGAAAAGTTTATATCAATATATGTACTAAACCTTTTAGTTTTCCAGCTACAGGGTGTTACAGTTTTAGAAAAAAAATAACTTTTCTATCATACTTTTCTTATTACTCTAGATATTTATATGAATTTTTGTACACACTTTTTAATTATCGAGGAGAATTTTTTGAGGCAAAAGATTTTTTTTAATTTTTACCAGTGACGTCCGTACAGGGCTTGAACTGAATATGTTTGAAGAAAAAATGGAACGCCACTGCTTTTTCTAAAAACCAAAATTATTTTTAAAATCCTCATTTATTTTGTAGCAAATTCGGTCAGAAGACTTATTTTCGTACGACGCACCATTTCCGCGTAAAAAAATAAAAATCAAAACAATTTTGTTCCCAAGTTCATTGAGACTGTTTTTTGATTTGTTGAAATTTGGTGGGCGCCCACCATGCAAGAAGACACTTTTTTGGGGACAAAAAAAATTTTCTACTATTACCAGTGACGTCCACGTCCGAAATTTCATAAACATATCTGGAGCAATAAGAAAATTATAAAAAGTTGTAACACCCTGTAGCTCCAAAAACTAAGAGATTTAGGACATATATTGATATAATCTTTTCTTCTTAAAATTATCCAAATATTCACATCCTGAAGTGTCCGCTCTCAATTAATAACCACCCTGTATAGAACTATTCCTAAACGTTTACAATTTTGATAATTATTTTCACAACAAATGTGTCGATAAAAAATCAAAAGTACAACAATGAAACATTTTTCAAGATTTTTTTAAATTCAATTCTTTCCCATGCAATTTGAAACGATAAAAGTAGGGTTTTAAATTTAAATAGCATTTAAATAGCACTGCAAATAAATGGATAGAAAATGAAGGAGGTGAGTTTAAAAATAGGAGATATCATTGGTTGGAGTCTCTATATTAGGTATAAAAAAGATTTAAATCAATTGATGAAGCCAAATTTTAATCTTTTTAGAATTACTAAACCAACGTTTTCCGATTTAAAAATACCCTCAAGTGACGCCTTTAAATAAGGATTTTGATCGAAACGACTTACTTCCGTGAAATATGGCTACATTGTGGTGAATTGTTAAAGCGTCCGCTAAGAATTCGGTAAACGTAATGTACGTTTCTGTATTCAATTTCACTTCGATCACCGACATGTCGGTGTGTTCGCAAAATAATTGATTCGCCCTCCATGTTATTTCCAATTCCGAAAGCCAGTCTGGAGTATCTTCAGCTGCTAGGGTATCAGTTATTGCAATAGGCAACTAAAAAATTTTTAGATAATTTCATATTAAAATATACAGGGTGTTTCATAATGACATGCTAATCACCCCTATAAGGGGTGATTGTTGGACGCATTTTAAGAAAAACACTTCATGTGAACATACAGAGTGGCACATTAGTATGGAAAAAACTGTGTTCATTACAAAAGTTGTAGATCTTTCTAAGCTTCATATATTAAAATTAGTTACATTTATACATAGTGTCCTCTTTTTCCGTGGTAGACCAAACTTATACTTTTTTAAATGGAACACCCTAATGTTTATTCAAAAATTGAATTTAGCTCGTTTTCAGCTTACCAAAAATATAATATTGTGTAATGTTATACTGAGTGGCTTAAAAGCTATGACCACTTTTTCACGAAAATCGTACTAAGTATACTCTGTAAAAACTAAATGGATTGACTTGGAAATAGATTTCATGATTCATAGTGTAATAAGTTTCATACAGATATCTAGAATAGTATCACAGTTATTACAAAAAAAATATTTTCTACTAAAAATTTTACTACCCTGTATCTTAAAATTTAAGACGTTTAGGACATTGGTTCATATGAAATTTTTTTCCTTAAAATGGGTCCAAGAATCACCCCCTTAAATATTAGCATGTCATTATAAAACACTCTCTATAAAATAATTTCATAAGCGATAGTAGTTTGTGTAATTTCTAAGAAGAAATAACATCATACATTACTTACCCAAGCTCTAATTCTTCGTAAAACGAATTTTAGCAAATAATTAATATCGCTTTTGTCCATATCTTCCGTAGTATCTACTCTTTTTATGTTACATATCGAACATAATTTCTCATCGAATAACAATCTCTTCTTATCAACAGTATTTAACGAATTAGAAGTGGATGTAGACGTGCCGATTTGGTTCGATTCTGTGCTGTTATTGCACGTATTTACAACATCTTCCACTATTGTTAAAGCTTCATGTGTGGTAGTCGGTTTGGAAATATTCTGAATTCAAAATAAAACAAGGTGAAAAAGTAAAATCATCATCGCAACATCCAGCTTACTTCACTGTTGAAATTCATCATATTTTTATGGTGCTCGAATTTTTTTCCAGCGCCCATCAGACAACCTTGGTGAAACACCCGGAAGCAGGTCTGGCATTCTATTACATCGCCAGCTAGATGGCATTCAAAGCAGTACCAATCCTTACCATCTGTTGCTGTCTAAAATTTATAAATTATCTTTAATTATTAATCAATGTTTTTATGGAATATACACTGTGTGATTAACAGCACGAATCTATAGGGTGTTAGTTGAATACCGATACTTCAGGATTTCAATTAGTTAACACCCTGTATTGTTCATTCTTATTTGGGACACAGTGTATATGCAACTAGTGCAAAAAAAGTAATAAAATAATATAAAGTAAATAAAAAAGTTTTGATTACCAATTCATCTTGCAGAGGTACCTTGTAAGTTTGGTTTGGATTTGTGGATTTTACTGGCCTGAAATATTTTATTAGCGAATAAAAATGATTACTTAAATTTTCCATAACAGTTTGCTTACGCGATAAGTTTATCGTCAAGGGCCTGTTTGAGGTGCAGTTCAACTTGCGTCGGGCTGTAGTTGAAAATGCTCTGCAAATATTTCGTAATTCTCGCCAAATCGGGCGAAACTTTCTGGTGGTTCGCCTGTCGTATGGCGTTCCATATTCGCTTTATGTTTATTGGATCTGTGTGTCGTCTTACAGTCATATCTAAAATTACATACATCGATAAAATTACTTTACAAAACCTTTCATACAAGGTGTATCTAAATAACAGTGAAAAAATTTAAGGTGGGTACTTGGTATAATTAAAAAAAAACAATTTTTATTTTTGGTTGGCTTTGTTAGTATTTAACATAAGCTCGCAATACATTTTTTTTCTTGTAAATGCTTAAGTTTTGGAAAAAACTTGTAAAAATAAAAAAGTTAGTAAATGGATAGACCTTTTGAGCCATATTTTCTTAAATAAAAATTATAATCTAAAAATGGTAAGAAAAAAATGTCCTAGGGGTTGACTATTTCAAGCTTCTAAGCTCTAATCCCCTTCTAACCCTACTTCTGGGTTGAAAAAATTTCAAAATGTGTAGTTTCATTGACATAATATTTCCCAAGTTTCGTATCTTTAACTTAATATACAAAGAAAATAAAGAAAAACCATTTTTTAATCTTCGGAAGGGTACCCAAGTATCCACCTTAATTTTCATCAAATTTTTTCGGTCTTATTTAAATATACCCTGCATAACGTTGATATTTTTATCTACTTTCAAAATAAAAAAACCGTTATACAGGGTGTTTGTAAAACACACGGAGATATTTTAGAGGGCGATTCCTTGTTAAAAAAATGAAAAAGTTTCTAACATGGGTCCGCAAATGCACAGTTTTCAAGACACAGGATGTTAAATAAAAAAATAATATTATATCGCCGTTTATTAGAAAATATTATTTTATTTGATTCTGTTGAAATTTGGCAATGTTATTTGTTGTATTATAAGGCTAATTTAGTCCTAAATAGAATAAAATTATTCAGTAAGTTCAGTAGCGTCCCTGGGGACACCTTAGCGAACATTTTTGGCAATAAAATGTACGCCACTATCTTTTTATTAGGCATCTAAAAATACAACTTCTTTACCTGTAGGTATCTTAAAAGTCTGCATTTCCGTACACATGTTTATAGAAACTTTTTATCATATTTTTTAACAAGGAATCACCCTTTAAATTATCTCCATCTATTTTAGGAACACCTTGTATTATGTTAAATTAAAACACCCAGTTTCACAAATTTCAGGACACTCATTAAAATGACCCTAATTACTTTAGTACTTTAAATATCGAACAATCACAATTTTAATTTTCATACGTATAATTTTAATGGTTTAGAGTAAATGTTGACCTGCATAAATCAATTATAATTAGCAGTACTGGGTTGATAAATTACAGTTATAGATATTATCCTACCCACATTACCCCAGAAAAACACTGATGTGGGTACCTAGCTTAAATATTTTTCAAATAGCAATATACTTCAAAGTAATTGTAAATATCGCATGGTGTTCAAGTGCTTGTGCAAAAATGATTACCTTGTACGGAATAATAGGAGCGGCTTTGGTGATACCTGGTGCAGCTTATTTATACATTTTTGCGAGGTATCTACTAAGAAGTAAAAACAAGGAGTTGATTATACCTGTATCTGAAGCATTGATTACAATCGTTATTGGTTTATTCTACATTTATTCGGTCGTAATACTTGCAAACGAAAGAGAACAGACATTAAACTTTACCAACAATATAGATGATATATTGATGAAAAACGACAGTTTTCAATACTACTTTACCACAAGTAGACCTGAAATTATAGCCGAAACAACCGAAAATATCGAAATCGAGAATATTGATACGGAAAATGATGTTAACATCGAATTTAATACAGAAACAAACGAGGTAACTGATGAAAACCCAATCAAAACGACTTTTGCCAGCACCGAAGAATCATCCGAACCTGAAGTAGCCTTTTTATCTACGACAAACGAAGAAACAACTCTTCCTACGGGTGTGAATAAAACCGAGCAATTCATCAAGAATTACCAAACGTTCATAAAAGAATTTATCAAACAGAAATTTTCCAACTTCTCGGCGTTGAATAAAACGTTTGCCAACATCAAATTCGATCGTCCTACTAACATCAAAACCGGAAGAAAAATTGAATTTGAACCCAGAGACGATGATTGCTTCAATAATTTGTTTCTAAAAAATGCCTTATTATTGTTTTCTTTCATGCATTGTTTATTGAGTTTGGTGAACAATACAATGGAATGTAGAAAATGTGGTGAAGAAAACTTGGAGTCCAAAGAGAAACCAAAAGAGAATGAAACAAGTATGAAAAGTAAAAGTGATGAAGTGTTGGACACGAGTGGAAGTGCTTCGGAGCCAGTTGGTCCTCTCTTCGAAAGCACGAGCAGTAAATTATCTCAAAATGAGCCCAACGTGAAATTATTTCAAGCCAAAAGTGCATCAGCAAGACCCAACAATAAACCTTCGCAGAAAGAACCACAGTTAAAAGATAAGCTTAAAAATAACAAATTTGTATTACAACTAATGGTGAGCTGGTTATTACCCATTATCGGTGTAATAATTTTGTATTTCTCGATTAAATATTATCCGGTATTACCAAATTTTGAACATATTAAACTTAAAAGCAACTTTACAATGTCTCAATTCGAACCGAATACTGTACTAAATGCAGCCAACATTACAACTAATTCAACAGAAGCCGATAACATTGTTAGCAGAGTTTATGAGATTGTTAACAGCGTTAAAGAAAATATTAACAAAAAAACTACATATTTTACACCGATTATGGTTGATGTTATATATTATTTGCAACATAAACCAAGACAAAGTATTGACCCAGCTTGCTTCGATTTTGATACAACTGCTACTACTACTTTAAAAATTGTTTACTTTATCGTTTTTGTGGTTTGCTATTTTGGTGTTATTCTATTCGCTAAAGTTACAGAAGCACTAACGAAACTAAAACATCAAGAAAAAGCGAAACAACAAAACATTTGTATGTTAAGCTTCGCACTGTTGTGGTTACCCAGTGTTTTGGATATGTTTTATAGAATATTTATAACACAAGCGGAATCCACAATGTTTTCTAGCATATTCTTAGCTTTAGGAAATAGTAATAGGTTACAAACTATGATATACACTCACATGTATGCTAAAAAATACGTACAAAAACCGAATTTTATAAATCCTGTGTAGATTTTTTTATTTGAATATGTTGTTTTGGGGCAGTTTAATAAAATACTTATTGTACTATTCGATTTGCTATTACTTACTTATGAATAATTGGTCTTAACACTTAACACCAGTGGTAAGATTTGTCTTGCAGTTAATTAAGCAATATGCTTCATAGATTTATCATCAATATACTTGTTCCATATTTCTTAATAACATACATAAAGTAAATTAGCAATTGCACTATATTATGTTACTTTGCCATTTGCCAAAGCCAAATAGTTTCAATTTTTTAGGAATATTTATTATTTTTATTTATATCCCATATGACAGTTGACAAATGTAACTGTCGAATGTCAAAAGGATAATTTTCCAAACTAGATACGACGTTGCCAAATGATTTTTACATTGATGACATGTCAAATCTAATTGCAGGAATTATTCCTGAACATTGTCAAAATGTTACGAAAATCATCAAAATGTTGTGTTTTGAGGCGCGCAAATCTTATTACATATCTTTTTGGCTTTTTACTTTTAAGATAATAGTATTATAAATCCTAATCCTTCTTGCTTTACTTTAGTAGGATTATAAATTTGTAGTTCTAATAAATAAACGCAATAGATATTATACATAGAAAAATTTATTAACACGCTTTAGTTATTAAATTGTTTATAAAAAGAGTAGGTACCCTACGTATTAATAAAGAATTAGAAATGTAAAAAAATAGAATACTTTTACAAACGAATCAAAATATACACATTAATTCTAATTTTAACATAACATAAACTGAACGCTAACGTTTGATAAAATAAATAATAATTCGATCACAGATAAAATATGTGAAATTAATTCACTTTTAATAGAACTAGCAACTAAGGGGAATGTACAAAATAAAATATAAAAACAAAAATATCCTTATGGGGACGTCAAATTGCTTGTAGAGATCCAAATTAATACAAAAGAATAAAAAAGTGTTTTAAAACAAGATTTTTTTTTCAGAATTCCGAATGATTAAGGCAGAAGCAGTCACAATTTAATTGACTTTCGTAACGTATTTACAGTTTTAGAAATCGTGACGGCTTCGCTTGTTATTCAACTACACCAGGCATTCGATATTACGATAATTTTGTAGCCGGTTGAATAGGCCTTAAGACAGGTAAAATGTTCAATTTCGCGGCATTCAGTCTATCCCTCGAATGCCTTTTGACGTGCTTGGCCAAATGATCGGACCTCATAAACTTCCTCTGGCAGAACGTGCATTTGAACTTTTTCTCGCCGGTATGCGTGCGTTTGTGCCTGGAAAGCTCGTCGGACCTGGAAAAGCGCCTTCCGCAATCCTCCCACTGGCACACGAACGGCTTCTCGCCCGTGTGTATCCTATTGTGCGCCTTCAAATGGGACGACTTGAAGTAGTTTTTGCCGCATCCCTCGTATTTACACTCGTATATGCGGCGTCGCGACGGCGGAGCCGGCGTCGTCGGTGTGTGCGTGATAAAGACGATTTGAGTGGGTAGCACGTTCCCATCCGCCGATATGTAGATGGTAGCAGGCGCGTTGGGCGCCAAGATCTTCGGAGCCAGCACCGGTAATGGTACTTTAGAGGGTGCTGGGGTCTGCTTGGGCTCCTCTTTAGGCGGCTCGTTCTCCACTAAATCTATCTTATGTCTCATTTTGAACTTCAAGCTCTTCAGGATGTTCTCTTCCTGTCGTACCACCGGCATGGGCAGGGATGAGCAGGTACCGTCCGGATTCGCTTTCATGATTACGGAGACAGTTCTCGTGGGGATTGGCGCCGGGTTCCTAATTCGATCATTTGTTGTAGGACTTTGGAGGATCTTTGCTGGTGATTTGGGCGGTGTTATCGTGGGTGGTGGATACACAACATTCGGATTATAGCGGTACCGTTTTTTCGGAGGCACGTCTATATCCTCGTTTTCCGAATCTGATGGTTGAGGGGTTAACAAACCGCAGTGCTGCAACGTGCGCTTTTGTCCAAGGAAGTTTTTCAGTTGAAGGATGGTCGATTGTTGCATATTTTCATCGCCGGGCATCTGCAAATAAAGTAAAACTTTATTAAATAAAGGTTTATCTTCTGCCACTCGTAGGGTAGGTACTTATAATTTGGTACTAAAATGAAGAAATTGTACAATTATAAATTTATTACGTTTTTAAATATTGGCTCATCAGAAACGTGTTAGCACTAACAATGGAAAATCCATTTACTCTGTTACAGGTTTAATGACAATTGTAATAATACGATATGTTTGTTTAATCATTCGAATCCTTATAATGATGATTGTTTAGGATTTACATCAGGATAACTTAGGTAAGTAGGTATACATACTAATATTTTACTTTTTTAATTCAACAAACTTAAATTTCTAACGCCATTATTTTGCAAATGTAGAGGGCGCTGTAATAATAGAGTGTTTAAATCAAAAGGGGGGAAGTACCTACCTAGTTAAATAATGTTCATTAGCTCATACAAAGACCTATTATAAGTTAGGTCATGATGTCCGTTTTATATTAAAAAAAATAATTATAAAATAAGAATATATCAGATAAGGATAAATTTGTATAAAAGTTATTACATATTATAAATAGGTATAGGTATGTCAAGATATTGCAATATATCATAATAATTAATAATTACCCTAATTTTAGAATACAAAACAAACAAAATCGACCTAATTAACAATCGGTTTTGGTTTTATAGGAGCCTAAATTAAATGGGACAACAAAGAAATATAGCCCAAAAATAGCTTACCGTCTTGAGGGGCGGCGTGGAAGGCGGCGAAAGTAAAACGTCTTTCATTTTAAACTCACAATTCATCACTAACAAACAATAACGTTCATCTAAACCCAAAAAGGAGATCCGCGAAACGGCGAGGACCCTTTAAGCACAAACGAAAATCTGGAGCGATAATACTATTTTGAATTGATGCTTTCTTAAATCGCTCTGGCATGGGATTGTTGGGGTGTGTTGCGCGCTGTAAACGCGAACCTCGCGAACGGGCCAATGGAGCGCGGGGGCTCGCGCGCTCCGACCAATCGGCGCTCGGGCGATCACTCGGTCGCCGCGTGATCGTATGCATGATGTTCACGTGCACAGGGTCTGACAACGGCGGCGGTTGACCGTGATTACGACGTCATCGGAGCGTGCTAGTTTAGTGAAACGTCACGGACAAGCCCGCACCGGGAGCGTGCAAGCCTCGGTGCCGGATCGGTGAGAGGATTATACACAAATTAAAGGTAACGCTGTTGGAAGGAATTACGAAGAATTATAATGTTTGTTACGTGTTATTAGTGAACAATTATTCAAAAATTTTAGAATTTCAAATGTCATTTGTCATTTGTCATTCTCAAGACTAACGAGATTTTTTCGTATGAAAAGATGAATATAGGCGATTCAATATAAGCGATACGCCCTCTGGTGGCAGAAAATAGAACGCTTCTAACAGGTATTGCACCATTGTTTTGGTTTTGCATCCATTACGTTCGTTCTGTTTTTGTTTTGTTTTCTCTCGTGTTTGTCTTTATTGTCGGTTTCGTCGCTTTTATAAATCTGTTTTTTTCAAGAACGAATAGTATTAGTCATGACAAAATTAAAGAGTGATCTTTCTTATGTAACGTTGTCAGTATTGTTTGCTATTTCCCCCGAATTATGTAAAAAATATATTTTTGAAATGTTGCCTATATTAAGTGCAGTCTTAAAGCCCTGTATAAGGTTCCCCGATTCTTCGGAAATTAAAAGAAACATGCCCCTATGTTTTAATCAATTTGAGGATGTAAGGGTGATTCTGGATTGTACAGAAATAAATGTCCAAACGCCAAAATGCCTTTGCTGTAGAATAAAATTTTATTCACATTATAAGTCGAGTACAACAATTAAGTTTATGACCGGTGTATCTCCTGGGGGAATAATAACGTACGTAAGCGAAGCGTACGGTGGAAGGGCATCTGATAAGGCCATTTTTAAGCAAAGCGATATAATCCTGAAATTAGAAGGCAACAAAGACGCCATTATGGTGGATAAAGGTTTTTTAATTGATGACATTTGTGAATCCTTTAAAATTAAATTAATTAGACCACCTTTTTTAAGGAATAAAAAACAATTATCTTCCGAAGAAGCCATTTTAAATTCAAAAATTGCAGCTGCCCGAGTGCACATTGAAAGGACAAATCAACGCATTAAAATATTTAAAATTTTAAGTGGGAAAATGCAATGGTCCTTGGTGTCCAAAATTCAAGATATTTTTATAATTGCTTGCAGTATTACTAATTTATCAAATCCCATATTAGCAGATACTAGATTCATGTAAAATAATTCAAAAAACCCCTAAAACCACATGGCGATACTTGAAGAATAATTTCTGATAAAAAAAATGTAACAGCTCTCGATCTAAAAAAATAATTTATCAAAATTAGTTGTAATATTATATAGAATTAATACATTACCATTATTGGAGTAATACTAAACAGAACAAGCGATGTGAAGCGTTTTATGAAAATCCCTTGTCGATACCCGAAGAATAATTTCTGGTAGAAAAAAAATGTAACAGCTCTTGATCTGAATAAAATATTTTATCAAAATTAGTTGTAATATTATATAGAATTAATACTTTACCATTAAGTAATACTAAATGGAACAAACAATGTGAAGCATTTTTTCTCCGGATATTTGATGAGGTTCTCCATTAAGTGCGCTAGTTTGTAGACACAAAGCACAGATTTTAATAAGATCAGAAGTCACCAAATTAAATTTTCCACATAAAATTATGTGTCCTGCATTTAAAACTTCTTCGCCCTCTACCACACATCTTGAAGAAACTGTCCCTTCAATGTACGCCATGTAGTCGATTATACTTAATCGAGCCATTTTTCTAAAAATGAAAGATTATAAATTAAAAAAAATAGATTATTAATAAATAGAATAAATAAAAGTATAATTTTTAAGTCATTGAGTAATTTGAATACACCATATTTCATAATTTAATTGAAAGAAACGACAAAAAATATATAACCAAACATAATACAATCTTACATACAAATGAGATTGCTTACCAGATTTTGAATTGACAGTAAATTTAACAACTTAAAAACTACTTAAACTGAAATAAATTGTCTTTTAATATAAAAATTGTTCGGAAGAAATTAAGTTATAACACTAAAAAATCACTTTCAAATTCACAATTCGCACTTTAAAACAAATAACAACAAACGAATGAATGCCTGTTACGAAGGTTCCGTTTTTTGCCACGATGGCGCTGCAATCTTAAATTCAGATGCCAATAGACTTGCATATCAAAATTCAAAGTTATATTGTTAAAATAGCTTGTGGTTTTCCATTCTTTAAACAAAAAATTGTATTTAGATTTTTATAATGTGTATGTACCTAATAAATTCAAATTATTAAGAAATTCTGTCAATAAAAAATGAAGTATAGGTTTTTCATAGATGAATACATTTGCCCGTACTCAGCGCCTCACTTTAACTTTAGAGTCTTTAGACTTTAGAGTGACTCTAAAGCCGCGTTTTTAACTTCACAGTCGTAAATTGTTGTTATGGAGTAACTAGGGACTAGAGACGCGACTTTAGAGTCACGCTAAAGTTAAAGTGAGGCCAGAGAATAGCGAACACATGTGTTCGTGTGTGAGGCGTGTGTGAGGCGTGTGTGAGGCGCTGAATACGGGCCATATATTGTGAAAATTATATAGCTTCCTGTCTCTTCTCTCTTGAAGATAGTTATACATTTAATTCATATAATGTACATAGGAAATATAACGATGAGCAAATACCTATCTCTATTAATTTATTCTCAAAAATTGTTCAATCATTAAAGAATAAAGTACAAATGTCCAAACCTACCAAAATAGGCTCCTTTCTGTCAAAGAAAATAATATTTAGCGATACCTTAACCGCACCAGTCTACTTGATTCGGGGTAAAGTGGTCTCTTCAGTGAGTAACATTGTGTTGACGGTGTTGCCTACGTATGCTGATAATGTGGGATTATTATTATTATGGAATTAAACTTTGTCTTGCTTGCGGACAAAACACCGTTATCACACATTCGGTTGTTGATCGCCTAGATTTCTATTTTTGGCAGCAAACGATCAACGAACAAATACGATGCGTTCTTAACAACATTGTTTACCATTTAGCTGGATAATTTACATTGGAAAAGTCGGAGTAGATTGAAAAGAAATATGTTAACTTCGGGGTCAGTTGTGAGGCAGGTAACAAAGTTCAATGTTTTTGTTGGAAAACAAATTAATTCCGATACGTAATTTGGGAATAATAATTTCAAACATTTGTATACAGTTTATTCGGGTGCCGGTCTAGTATGCGGTCTACCATAATATTGGCGGTCTACCTACATATTTCGTCGCCCAAAAATATTTAAATGCTTTGACAGATGTCATATTTTGCAAAACTGACAAGTTTTAAACATGTCTTACAAAACTGCAAATGTTTGTTCGTTTAAACTTTTTTCTATCTCCTGCAGTTCCCGAGATGCCTATACTGAACATCGAAAGAACTCACCCTGTATAGTTCTGATACTTTACTATAAATAATACAATACCAGTATTTTTTTTCTTTTGCTTAATGAAGGGTCAATTTTCATAATCTTGCTGTTATACTTTGTAATAATTACTTTGTTTGAAATAAATTGGGGTATAGATCGGTAGATCGCATACTACACCGGTACCTTTATTTATTCACTCAGTATACCTACTCACTAATGAAGACACCCTGTATAGATATACCCGCAGATTAAGTATGTTTTTGCTAGTCGAAGATAAGCATCTGGAATATGTACGTGTACAGGTGTTTAAAAGTTAAAAAAAATACAATGGACTTTTTTCATTTTTTTATCGTTTTGTAACGTATAACAATTTGTAAGAAATTGGTTAATGGAAAATTTAAGTAAAAGCTTTTAAAGGTGATGGTGGTTATTTTTTGACCAGTTATGCTTATGCATAAGTTATTTTCAAAAAGTTTCATACCCTGGATTTATTCTAATCAATAAATTTTTAATTTAGATTACTCTGCCATCTATGGACATTCTAGCAAATGAATACAGATTTCTGTCTGAATAAAACGATTAATTTCATAATGCTCCATTAGATGGCAGCGCTCACCAAAATTTTACAAAAATAATCAGTGAAAATAAGTTCCAAAATTATTTGTGGTGTATCTTATATGAAAATATCAATTAGTATAGAAATTAAAATACAAACAATATTTAGGAAAAGATTGGAAAATTATCTTAAAATTTTTCTATTTAAATCGTATTAGAATCATTTTATCTCAGAAAATAGATTTAAATGAATTAGAAATAAACATTCCATTTTTACCGTTTAGAATTTTTGGCTTATATTCACAGAAAATTAATTAAATGTTTCCTACTGGAAGATCTGCTACGGTCTTAGACATGCTTTATAAGTAGTTTATATTCAGGACATCCATCTGGGCGTCCAGAAAGTAAGTTCCGTTTGGTAATTTAAAAAAATCCTGTAGGTATAATACAGATATAAATAAATTTATTGCACAATAATCTACGATTCATAAGCTAACATTTGCATTTCTACATAGGTCCCAAAATTTTCCAGCCATTTTTCAGTGCATGGTACCGGTATCAGTTTTAGTTTTTGTATCTCCTTATTTTCATCCCCATGGAAGGTGGCAGCCTGTGTTTTAGTCGCACATGTTTTGGAAATGCAATTTTTCATTAACAATTTCATGAATTGTGAGAGAGATTTGTGGAAATTCCATAGAAATATCATGAATTGTAAACTTACAGTTTTCGTTAATCTTTACTTCAAATGAACGATAGTTGAGTGGAAAATCATGCGTTGCCGCAGATAATTGAAAACAGGCAAAACATACTTGAGGCTTATTATGTAGAAATGTAGCTTAAAAATCGTAGAATATTGTACAGTATATCTTCCTGCAATGGACGCCCCTTAATTCATTATTATTTTTGATATCTTTGCCTTTTACTTTCTGTTAGAGTAAAATTTATTAAGGAAGAGCATACCAATAAATATGGACACCGACCAAATTAAAGATATAGGCGTGATTACACGTAGATACTTTTATTGGAGACCGAAATTTTAACATTATTCTAGCCACTATTAGCATGTGCCGCTACTTTTTATTGATGGTTTTCGACTTAAACCATTAGTCATGGTCAGTTATTTTGAAACTATACTGTAAGTGCGGATCTATAATTATTCTACTACTGTAATATGATAGCGCAGTAAGAGATTTTACTAATTAAACTACTTTTTGTAAATAAGGATGATGAGTTTAATTTGATTAATTTACCTTATCAATTCTACGAGTTGAACAAAGAAAGATCATTAAAATGGCAAACAGTTAGAGCAGGAAAGTGGCAAATCCACATGCACAAGATCACCCTTTCTTTTTCCTTTATGAGTGTCTAATGGAAGTCGTCTTTGTTACACCCATAGATTATATTGCTAACTATAAAATGCAACTCTTGTATATCCTATACTCATTGTCTATTTATTGATTATTACAAATTCCAAAAAGGACATGAAACATAACAGATAGTGTTGAACACGGGCTAATATCTGCTTGAGTTTGAAACCAAATAGAAAACTTTTTATTACCTTATAATCTGATTAAGGAAAAAAAGTTAATTCTTGCAGAAAAGTTCTGCTTAGTTTAAAACTAAAGTGAAACTCGGATTTTTCTAGGCTAGGTTTAGTAAAAAAACATTACTTTAAGGTACACTATTTTAGTACTTTAACTTCTAACAACACCGAATATTGGCATAAAAATAATGGTGTAGAATATTTAAATAAGTAAATAAAAATGTACTTGTTTATTTGCCATTTCGTCTCTCGATCCTGATGTAATAATTTTTTTATTATGTAAAAAAAATGTTCGAGTTTTTTTTTAACTTTGAAATTTTTTATTTTTTTTAGCTTACAATTACATTAGAATTTTTAATCAAGTGTGTAGATTTAGAAAAATTGGCCCAGAACCACCAGGACATCTTGTATAATAGAACTAACTTGTACCGAATCTACCCAGTGTAAATATATGTAAATACCTAGTGTAGGTTATCTGTGAATCTACCTACGGGTACCTATCTAAAGGTATGCTTTTTTTCGAGAAACTTTTTTTTCGGAAATAAATATTTAATTAAATAAAACAATTACAAAATTTAAACTCAAAAATAATCTAATAAACAGTGTAGACGAAGTGGTCTCGAAGATCCTTGCATTTTCTTTTAGGTACCAATAGCTTGGGTTATAATTTTTCCCATGCACTAAACTTTCCAAATGAAACAGAAAAAGAACATAAATAACCAAAATAAAGAATATGACGCAGCTTTTCATCAGCTTTCTTAAATTTTATTTTTCTATCGTAGAATTTAAAGATTCCCCACGTACTCGTAGACCCCCCAAAAAACATTGAAACATTGTTAATACAGTGACAACAAAGTAAATTCAAATAAATCGCAAAATTCCTATTCTTTCATTTTTCTTGAATCTTGAGTCTGCTCATTTTGACGCGGTACACATTCAGACACCTTTCCAATCATCGAAACATTTTTATAGACCCTTTTTGGTAACACTTTTTAGCTCCTTCTGCATGTAATGGCATTTATAGTGCCAAAAAGGGATCCCTGAAGTAGCAATTTGAGCTTGGGAAATAAAAAAAGTCATACCAGGCTATATCTGGTGAGTAAGGAATCTGGTCAATCGTACTTCACATTAACCAGCATGTCTGCATCGACCAGTTGACGATATCGTTTTTGAAGGAAACTCCAGCTCTTTCTGAAAGAGTCGTGCCTCAATTCGCAGCATGTCTGATTGGTTGAGCAAAATCAAACAAGCGGTTTCACTAGAGATGTTGAAGTCAAGTGCTACTTCTCTAATACTAGCATGATGATTTTCGAACTTAATTTTCTCGACGCTATCATAGGTTGAAGAGGTCGAAGACAGTCCGGAACAAGGCAAGTCTTTAGCGACCTTCCGAGTGTCTTCAAAGTTTTGTACCAATCCTATATTATGGGTTTTCGATAAACCAGAGCCTCCTTAAGCATTTACATCGATTCGGCCCACGAAATTCCTTTCAAAACCCAAAATATGAGACAAACTCTTTGTTCAATATTATTGTCCATTGCAAAATTCGCAGAGCACTACTGATATGAACTGATTCAACCAGCTGCTACAACCAAAGTGATTGAGAAATCTCTCTAATTTTTTGCCTGTTAATTAAGAACAGTGTTACCTACATACAGTAGACCAAAAAAGTATTCGTACAGTTGCATTATGTTCTGGAAGTCCGCGTTCAGTAAACAGAAACAAGAAGTAACTAGCAAATTAAAATCTACATTTCAAGACTATTCTTGCAATCATTAATTAACATTGTTATTAAAAATGTAAAATAAAAAAAAACGAAAAATGTTTGCATTATCCCCAAAATAAGTATTCGTACAGCAACGTTTTATCAATTTCTTCACTCTGTAGATATTAAATTGTTTATTGTTTTCGCCGGTATATTAGTATTAGGTTGAGCTCCTAGTTCTGTTTTCAAAATAATTCAAGTTTACCTTAAAATGCCTAGAAAAACTGAAGAAATAGATGGTGACTTAAAAAAGTCATCATCCATCATTTTATAGAAGGAAAATAATATAAGGAGATAGGTAAAATTGTTCAAAAAACACATATTACAGTTCAGTACATTGTGAAAAAATATAAATCTACTGGTTCCGTGGAAAATAAGTCAAGATCGGGAGGTACTGCCAAGTTAACTCAACGAGATCAGAATTTCATTTATCAAAAAGTTAAAAAAATTCCCTTTGTAAGTGCTCCATACATCGTTTCTGAACTGGAATCCAGTACATGGCATAAGATCCATCCGGAAACTCTTCGATACCACATTAAGCGATTAGAATATAGAGGAAGAAGACCTGCTAAAAGCCAAGGATAAATAAGAAAAATCGAAAGCTAAGAGTGGAGTTTGCTAAGCGTTACATTAATAAACGTTTAGAGTTCTGGAACCAGGTTATATTGTCAGATGAGAGTAAGTATAACATTTTTGGATCGAATGGAGCCAAATCTGCCTGTTAATTGTTTTTTACTTTGTATATTTATTAAACGGGTAATTACACGTATAATGATTATAATACGAGTGTACGAATACTTTTTTGGTATACTGTACAGACACTTGAAATAGTTAAAAATGAAGGGCACAGGGAAGAACGACAATACTCCATCCAAAAGATTTTCGAGAAACTATTAAACATTAAAATATAAGTTCACTTACTCGTTATTGAAATTAAAGGTATCTTTTAGCAGTTGTTTTGTGGACTTTAGCAATTTTTACCATTTAACGATTTCATTACCTATCTGAGTAACTAAAAAATGCTATAAAAATTAACTGTGAACAAAAAAATGGACTATTGTCGTTTTTCCCCTGTAGCCTTCAAATATTAAAAGCAGGTAATTTAAATCGTAATTTCCGGGTACCTTTTTGCCATCAAAAGGTTCATACATCCGAAATGAATCGTCAATTAGCGACGATCGTCTTCCCGGTGGTTCGCGCCGCGCGGTACCCGGACTCCGGACTTTCCGCGACCGCCAGAAAAACGCCTGCGCTCGCCGGAGCAACAGCAACAATCGGCAAGAAGCATGACTCACGTAAACGTAAAACGTAAACCGTCAGTCGTCGTTACGCCGCTAGCGCAGCGAGAGGGGGTACTCCATCGTTTGGCGAAACCGAAACGCACGTGAACCGACACCTATCAAAACAAATCTGGAATCGGAATCGTTCCGCCACATTTGACTGATAACTCGCACATTCGTTTCTATTTTTGTTGTTGTTGTTGTTTTGTGTTGTTCAGTGTATGTGTGCCCTTTTTTCTGTGCTTTCGTTTGCGTACCTTATCATGTGACTTTGCGCCCGTTCCTTCGACTTTATTTTTTGCGAGAGGAGTTATTACGATGTCCAGGCGGAAGCAGAGCAACCCCAAACCTCTGAAAAGTAGGTAGTTTTGTTGCTTTCGATGTTTTGCATATTGTTTAGTTCTATTTGTTACCTCTTGTTTATTTACTTCTATTTGTTACCTTTAACTTTACGCATCGGCTTTGAGGCGATTTTTAAATTAATTAACACCTGCCTAACAGGCATTCGCTACAAACTCAAAATTTTCAAACCTTTACATTATTACCACCGAAAATTTACCTAAATACCAAAACAATTTCTCTAATATGTAATGTACTTATTAAGTGGAACTTTAGGTGAGTTCCTTAAAGACTTTTTTTTTATTTTTCACGTAATCGTGCAATATTAATACTACCTAATTTACTCACGTATGCATAACTCTAATTATTATAACGCTACATAAATTAGTTCAACCGGATACGAAAGATCACGCATAAACTGATTCTATCAGTTTCAGTGATTAATCTCATGTTTATTAATCGAGAAAAGGTCAGACATGTTTGAACATAACTTAAGAACCTATCAACAATTAGCATATTTAAAAAAGCGGTATTGAAGGACTGATTATTAACTTGAGTTTTATATCTATTAAGATCTATTACGAAATCGGCTGATTGCGTATTGAATATTTACATTAACGAATCATTACGTACATTACATATTGAACAGTTAAACGTTAAACTGTTAGGTATTTTATTTATTTATTTTGTTGTAAATTACCTACCTTACAAGCCATTTGGAATCTTTACTGGTGATTCGAGACTCATTTACTCGACTTATCTGGAGAATTAATCAATTAATTTCCCAGCATCGAAATCCACCAAATAACTGTTTATTCGATACGTGTACATTATTTTTTCGGTTACTTTATTTGCTTATTTATCAAATTTGAGTTATCTTTATCTATCTTGGGTGAGGTTATCTTTTCCTTTGCCCGGAGATAATGAACACGATTTGTTAATAAGAAACCGTACTGGTTTTAGACTTTGAATGTAATAAAAAAAGGTGAAATATTATCGAATAAGATACCAGTGAAAAATCTTTCCACTTCGAGGCGATTTTTTTTGTAGCCCGACAATTACTGCTTACAAATGCCTTCCAACAGGTTCAAGAAATTATTATTTTTATACAACGTTTCTAACTGAATATATTGCTTTAAGTAATGTACACCGAGTGATTGGTGTGTATGTAGGTATTGCACTGATAATATTTATATGTTAATTTACTGCATTGTTATGTAAGAAAAATAAATTAAGACAATATAATTACGGATATAACACTATTTACAACCATAAAATACACACACAATTATGTACCAATTGAGTGCAACTTAATTCCCTGTTCAATAACTTATAATAACATTTTAAAGAAACAAATCAAATTGAAATCTCTCGAATAAACTTCTTTTAATGACCCACTCAGTTTTTTCGCAGTTTGTTGTATAAACTATTGGGTGTATTCGCATTCAAGTATTAATATTAATCTTTTTAGTTAAGTGCAGCATAAAATGTAAATATCGCGCTTCAGATCTGGGTCATGCAATAACTAATGCGAAAATTTATCTGTTCTTAACAAGGAAGATAATAAAGAGTTGGGATGGATGCCTAGTAATAACTCGCAAACAACAATAATAAAGCATTAATAAATATTGTACTTTAGATAATATCACTTACAATTAAACAATAGGCAGGATTGCATGAGAACGGAGTCGCTCGCAAACGAACCTTCAATAATATTATGCATGTATTTGTTTAGTAAAAGTAAATATGGGATCGAATGAGTTACGTTGAATAGATTGTGTTGGGATTTTCAGCTTGAAGAAATTCCGAAGTGTGATTATTATCGAATTTCTTACTACAACATGAGTTAGTTGAGGTAAAATAATTTAATTTTGTGGAACTTTTGCTTAATGATATCGTGATGAAAGTGATTTAAAATTGGAGGTGTATTGAATCTAAAATTGGAAAATGCTACATTGTTTGAAAAAACTTTCATGCAACATTAAAGATAGTTTAATTTTTATAAAATCATTGTTGAAACTTTCTATACCGTATGGGCTCCTATAATTTTCTAGGTGATGAAGAATAGCATTTGGTTCTGGACAATCAAACATTTCGTCCAGCTTGTGTTGTACAAATATGCACTTATGTAGAAACCTATTAGGCATTGGTGCGTGTTTTTCATGTATTGGTATTTGAAAGATACGAGAAATATCACCTCCTTTCCCCATTTAAAGTTATTTACGATGATTACGAAATATCTCTGTTCGATTTAGATATCTAAGAAATCCGGTTTATGTATGAAACCATCATATAGAAATAAACGTTTAAAACAAAATATGTTACATATCTAGATGATATATTAAACAACGACGAACGATATAATATCTCTTATTTACTAGTTAGTATAAAAATATAACCTTATCTTATCGTACATAGATAGTAAACTCGGTGATAAAGTTAAAATGGACTTGTTAGTTACAAGTCTGCATTTTACACAAGATTTGTTCGTTGTTCGAAATGAAATATTTTATACCATTATTTTAGTACGGTTCGTCGCGGTATATTTTGCTTTTTTTGTTCATTTATTGATGATGGTTCAAATTATATCACCATGTTATATTCTTTGTACCTTTCTTTCGTATTTGTTTATGTTTTATTATGTTTGAAATGTTACTTCTGGTACTCGTTAATATTAAATACATTGATGCCAACGGAAGAAAAAGCTTATATTGTGCAATAACTATAAAATCTTTAGCCTAATATAAGAAGTAACATTTAATTTAATCTAATCAGCGGCACGTTGAAATTCAGCAATTTAAAATTTGCTAATAACTGGCTTATCTACTCTTTGTAATCGTTTTCTGATAAACATTAGCATATAAATTACATCATTTTTATAAATGTTATTCTGAAAAGTGACCACCCGATTCTATCTCTGATTTGCCTCGACTACAAAAAAAAACAAAAAAAAAGAAATTAAGTAGAAACACGTACTCGTGTTATTTCGTGCTTTTAAAAAGAGAATTAAAGAAACGAAAGAAATGGGTGCATTTTATCGTAGAAATCAAAGTTCTCCGAGTTCTACTTAGATATTTTTCTCGACTGGGTAGCCAACACTGTAGCCTCTCTGTTTCTTTCTTCTTATCGGGCCTTTGGGATTTCAATGAACAAAAACTACGTTTCCAGAGGCGTAACAAATATATCTTATATAGCTGGCTATTTCATCCTATTAAAACTAACTACCTATTGTTAATAAGGACTAATAGAAATTATATTTTTCTATCTTGTTTCCCCTTCACTACAAACTAATAAAACCGTATTTGTTCAATAACTATTCTATTTGATATGAGTACCTAACTAATAAAGAGGTGGGGTGAAGATATAGGAAAGTAGGAAAATGTTTTTCCATTCTTTTTTACATTCATTGATACAATTTCAAATATTTTCATTTCAATTATTCAATGTATTTTTGAAATCTCTTACATTTTAAAGTCTATAGGGTTTTTAATTGAAAAAAGGGATTTGAAATTCTGTCTAATATCCATAATCTTTATTAGATACATATTCGAGAAGAAAATATAGAATTTAGAAGAACTCTTTAGTATAGATATAAAATATTAGATATAGCTACATTAGATACATACCTTAAAAAGTTTTTGGAATGATTGAAACTAGAAAAAGTACCTTCACATGAATTAAATTTTGTATAACCATATTTGTTCGTTGAATATTTGGTTGATAAACGTTTGTTCTGACATATGAAGCGACGCAGAAAGCTAATGACTTCATTATCACTAGGAATATTTCCATTATCTATTCTTTTATCGACATTAGTATCAACATTATTAATTATAATCAGTTCAATGAACTATATTATGTCGAGATCACTGTCACATCATGTGATAGAACTGATTACATTCTGATAATTATTTATTTTCTTCGATTCCAGTTACTACGAATATTTTAATCTGCTGTATAATTTTAATTAAAAATTCCCACTTATCGCCTATCCATTTGAATTTCTAATTTTGATATCATAATTCGTTTTATATGAAACGAAAAATAAAAAAAACAATAAACGTTGCCATGGTAAACCCATTTATATATCTAAGTTCCACGCGTTTGTTCTAAATAAATAATAAATTAAATATGAGTATTTACGGTTTGATATTCATCAGTAATTGATACGCATCTTAATAGTACGTATAATATAAATATTCCGGTATTTGTTCGTGTTTATATTACAGGGGCGACTCGGGGGAAAGTGTATCTATCTGCAATTTAAATTTTAAATTTGATCTAGAAATCTAAAGTTCCAGTAAGTTTAAAGGAAGTTCGGAGGAGAGACAATACACTGATAAAAACTTTTCAACTTCGAAATAAAAAGGGGATGATTTATTCAAAAGAATCAAGAAAATAAATTACTGATAGGTGGTATGTACAGATGATGATGTTGAAGACGTCGAATATTGATGTTTTTATAGTGCTTATCATTCATTTAATTTCATCTTTTATTGAATATTTGTATTTCAACATCAAACTAAGCAACATTGTAATAATCGAGGACTGCTAATTGCGTCCGCTAAGAAGGCTCTAAAGTTACTCCTTTTCGAAAGGATATACAAAGGAATAAAAATGCCGGAGGATTCCCTCGCGTTGGACAGAGAGCCCAAGAGTAACGACAGCCGGTTCGCGTCCGATAAGTCGTCTTGGCAGAAAACACGAAACAAGAATCCAGACAAGCCCGTTTACACGACGTACTACAACATCGCTATGAAGTGTTTCCGATTCGTTTGTACGCTTTTTACCTGCGAAAAAATCATTATTATTCCACCGACATTGAAGAGAATTACAGCGAAATGTGATGTGCGAGAATTAAGAGAATAGTTGGAAACCTCTTAATTATTATTAGCCAATAATGAGAGGTGTGTATTTTAGAATTAGACTACGCATCTTGATTGAGCTATTATTTTCCCAGTTGCTTTAGTTACACATTATTAATACCGATGTAGAGATGATCATAAAATCGACTCTATA